AATTGCAGATGGTAGGTAGCACGTCATGAATTAATGTACTGGGTTATTGCAATGTTGACTTGAAGCAACAAAACTCCCACCCGCTTATGGCTTTATTTACTTTAACCGATATCAGTGTAGATCCCTCCACAAAAAAAGAACTGTGGTAGAGGGAGAGAGAGATTTCACGCCCATTGGCTGGAGGGGCCATGACATAGATAGCAGAAGCAAGGTGTCAGTGGCCGAGACGGGGGAGGAGGCTGCGGGCCGGCCGCGGTGATTGGCCGCCTGCTCCTCTCACTCATTCAGGACGAGAGTACCTGACGACGCGAAAGCCAAGCCCATACTTTTCTGTCAGCCACAAATCGATGCTACACCCTATTTTCAAAGGTCTTTCAATCTTTTTTACAGTCTAGTAAGATCTTATCCACCATCGTATCGAGCTAGGCCAAAAATAGTGCTTTCCAAAAAAAAACGGGTTTTGCCCGGGTGGTCTGAGTTACCCTTACGGTGCGGTGCAGGGGGCCTCATTTCTAATGGCAGCTATATTTTTTCCCAAATTCTAACCTCTTAAAATATTTTAGTGTATAATCTGATGATTCTGTGAGTCCCTTTCTGCAGACAGCCAAATTAAAAATCTATTTGCATATGCATCATTTACTGAAATAATTGCATAGAATAAGATACTAATTGTAAGCAGGTTATAACAACAAATACAAATATATGAATGAATAAACTATCTGAGCATACACTAACAACAGTGTACCTGAACTGACTTAAGATTACATATGTTATAACTACAAGTTTCAAGTTTTCTATTAAAATTTATTAGAAAAAATATTGGAATTAAAATGACTTTGGCATCAGGGAATGAAGAGATCAAGAACTGGGCATATTGTAGTTAAAATAATATACAACCAATACTATAATGGAGGACTGTGCAAAACTGTGGCCTGTAAGTGGCAGCATCTCTGATTAAATTATCTGAATATTTGTGCATGATATTAAACAAATTCATGAGTAAATGATGTCTTCACATAGTGCTACATGCAATTATATTCAATTTAGTGGTAGTCATAAATTACAATGTGATCTGCTCATGCAGATGTAATGCAAGGGTGGCAGTACGTATGTTATGGTACAGTATGGAAATTTTTTGACCCACAGGAGGGTTCAAAACTAGTGTATAATATCCTCCCCCCCACAGTTTGGTACAGTAAATCAGCTGATCTAGTGCCACTTGTAAACTCAGGTCATCATCAAAAAGACAGACAAGATCTTGTCAGTGTGACAGAGACAATGAGGTCATGTCGACATCCCTTCTGTGATGTGACAGTGAGGCCAGATTCAACTTGCTCCCAGTCACGATGATTGGCAACTTGACTCAATAATATTATTGATGTCATTGACCAGTCACAGTAACCTGCTTCAGTTTTTGGGGAGACATCATAGTGTAGCTTGTGGATTTACTGCATTGGAAGACTTTAAATCTGTAGTACTAAGGGAAGCACAGTGATGAAATAGTAAGGATCGCCCAGATGTTGACTCAAGTGCGACTTGTATCATATATTTAAATGCAAAATAATATTGAGAAAATTTATAAGCTTATCAGGGAATAGTAAGCCCTATTGGTGAAGAAATGTATTATAATGGTAGTCACTGCTAATCAGGACACCAAACTGTTACATACATAATCATAAATAGCCAAAAAAAAATTAATTTATAATTTTCTAAGATCTCTTTCTTTTTATGAGGTACTGTACAATATAAGGTATGAAATTACGGTACAATATTTTACCATACTGGTACGTTGCTTTTTTTTTTTTTTTAGGTATGGTGTGGAATTACAGTATGATACTTTTCTAGTATGAATTACAAAAAAAATTTCATACTGTACCATACTGCCACCCATGCACGTAGGTACCAGTAACTGCAATCAAGAAAGACCAAAGGAAGCTAATTTAGACAAAAGTAAGCTGCGCTTTATTTGGCTGCCAATTATAAATAGTTTAAGTAAAGATGCACGACTTTGATACAATGTTCAACTCCTCTGCAAGTGCAAATTCCAGAGTCAATCAGCCAACATGCCACACCACATCTACCAAATTATTATTTATTATTTTTTTGTATGTGTGTGCATTTCCTAAACAAAAGTATTATGAATAAAGGTTTTAAATTACCTTCAAAGTCCATAGTCTCAAAAATACATACTGAATTTTATAAAGACTGACCTATATTATTTTAAAATTTCATGTATTGGGCATTTACCTTGAAAATGCTGTCTGTAGAAATCCATGTGCTGCTAGAGGATGTAGTCATGAACTAAGATACAAAGTTAATTCTAAGATTTCTCCACCAGAAAGGTCATCGGGATATCATGTCACTGAAGCTGCCACCTTGATGGCTCATTGGTATTATTTAGTTCTTAGATTACTCTAATTCCTAAAGTTTACTCTATGTGGGCTCAACATACTTACAGTATTTCATACTCTGCTTCCTCTTTCATATCTAACAAACCACCAAAGGAGTAACTAAACATGAGAGTACCCTTTCTGTCTAGCTACCATGAGACCTCAACACCTACAGTATATTTTACAGGCAACCACAAAAAATACCAGAATCACCGCTGGATATTCTATGATGATATGAGGTAATGTTTGGTGCCATTACTTAATCACAGCCGAAACTATATTTTCAAAGTACAGAATTAAAGCATCAATGGGTCAATACACTGTGATCTAGTCTAGAATAATATTTTGGGTTAGTAGTCAGAAACTACACCTTAGGGTTGTGGTAACAAAGGGGTTAAATAATAATTTGTTTTGTGATGTTTTACCATTTAAACAATACCTTGTAAGAATTAATAAGGCAGAAGCTAAATTACCGGTCACGGTAAAATAGCCTAACAGGCAGTTTTGGACTATTTTGCCGGTTCAGTGTTTCTATTATAGAATTAATGATATAGTAGCATTTATTGTATTATCAACCACGTACTAATTACGTTATCCTAACCAACCAAACCTGTTTTTGTTTGACATTATCATAAAAAAAAAAAAATGCCAATTCTTGCTGTTGCTTAGAATATTTCTAGTACCGGTACTGTACCTGTAGTTTACTGATTTTCAACTCACAATCTCTCAGTTATGGATAAAGTGAGCTATAAGTGTCATAAAAAAATATCGTTTGGTTTTTGTCTGAAATTATCATTAAACACAAAAAACCAACATCCAATTAGGACCTCTACTATAAACTGGCCCACAGCTCAGCCTCACCTGATCAGAGTTCTACTGAGTGTTGAGTTGGTTACACAATTACATACCATCTCCATGGATATTATTCTTCGTTTAAGATAAAGTATAAATCTAAAAAAAAAAATTTTTTTACATAAATATCATCATGTCATGTTTTTCTTTGCATACTACAATTCCAATACATATATTATTACTTCCATTAATAATGGAAGGGCAAAATAGCCCCAAACAGTCTAACAGTCTACTATATTAGGCTATTTTGCTGTAGCCTAATCAAATTGTTAAAAACCATGCATGATGATAAGGATGGCTTGTTGAGTAACCCCACAGCATATCAAGGTTAAATTACAAGAGAGAACACTCAGGACTCGCCGACAGCGGCCATGCTCTTGTATATTCTTTCTGCCAATGAGTGACGTACCCATGTATGCTGACAACCAATCAGTACTTTCCTCCTTGTATAAATTCTAATAGTGAAAGTTAAGTCCACAGCTACCTGGTATACCCAATTTAGTTGCATAATGTGAAGCAATGTATTTGCACTGAATAATAAGACAATAGCAACAAATAGTAAACATTTATTTTAAAAATTATTTATAAAAAGTAATGCAATAAACCCCCGATATAACAGACACTGTCTATGACGGACTTAGGTCCAATATTGTAAAGACTTTAAGGACTCGGGTTCATTTGTATCAAAATTATCACAAATAATTACAGTAATACCCTGTTTAGCCCTACCCTGCATAATGCTGATTAGTTATATAGCTCTTTGGTCCTCTTTTGGAGTTATATTTTTTCCTAGGATAAAAAAAAGATAGAAATCCATAATAGAATGCAGAAATTACAAGAGAGAACCCTCAAGACTCGCTGAACGCGACTATGCTTATTTACATTCTCTCCATCAATGAGAGTGACATACCCATGTACTCTTGCAGCCAATCAGCACACTCCTCCTTGTATAAAAAGTTTTCCTGGTAGCATTCAACTTACTTGACATGCTCGCTCCTTATATGACTGATTTCTGCATATTATAGTGAATATTTGTGACAAGTCATTTTTTGCTAGAAAAGAACAAAATTATGAAAATCCATAATTTGTACAAGTCAGTAGTTCTTATGTGCCTGGCAGTGCAGCGGTCATAATTAAGCATCACTTTCTCCGCACCACTAACAACCAACCAATACCGTACATGTTACTAACCTGTAGAGCGACTTTGTTTATCCTGCTAGCCTGCAGGCCGCCACTCTGCCAGCCCAGTTTGAACATGTTCTCATTCTGTAAACACCAGGTGGTGATGGTGAATGTTAGTGGTGATGGTGAGTTTTGGTGGTAATTATATGGTGATTGTTAGTGGTGATGATGAGTGTTGGTGGTGATTGTTGGTGGTGGTGGTAGTGAGTGTTGGTGGTGGCACTGAATGTTAGTGGTTAAGGTGAGTGTTGGTGGCGATGATGAGTGTTGGTGGTGATGATGAGTGTTGGTGATTGTTGGTGGTGGTGGCAAGTAAGTGGTGGTCATGGTAGTGAGTGTTGGTGGTGATGATGATGAGTGTTGGTGGTGATGATGATGAGTGTTGGTGGTGATGATGAGTGTTGGTGGTGATGATGATGAGTGTTGGTGGCAACTTTGGTGATTGTTGGTGGTGGTGATGAGTGATGGTGGTGATGATGAGTGTTGGTGATGATGAGTGTTGGTGATGATGAGTGTTGGTGGTGATGAGTGTTGGTAGTGATGATGAGTATTGATGGTGATGATGAGTATTGATGGTGATGATGAGTGTTGGTGGTGACTAGGATGATTGTTGGTGGTGATAATGAGTGTTGGTGGTGGCGATGAATGTTAGTAGTTAAGGGGAGCGTCTGGCTGAAGCACGAAATTCGTTAATAATTGATCAATTAATATCAATTTCCTGTCAGCAATTAAGGATGCCAGATACATTGTTGCTATACCCCTGAATCGGTTCTGCTTAATCCCTAATAGTGTACCCGATTTTTCCCCTTATATTCTTATCAATTTTCAAAATCCTACTTCTCCATAACTTTTTGCTAGAATACATTGAAATTTAAATGGAGTATAGGTAATTTACTCCTCTTCAACGTGTCATATAGAAAATTCTGATTACTACTTTCGTTTTGGGTGCACGAGTTTTGTCCTAACTCACCATTTTTTCCTCCAAATATTAATAAAGGTAAATCAACAAACAATAAACCAAGCCAAATATAAAGAAAATCTATATGTTCAGCCATGCTCAATACGTTATTCCACTACCAAGTTTTATTTTATTAGAATTGGCCCATAAATGGCTGAGTCTTAGGGATTTGAAGGTTAGAAAAACTCGTTTCGAGATATGGGCCGATAAGGGTGGCGCGAGAGCAACACATGGTCGAACCTAACTCTTGCTTCTTTCATGGGTAACTGAGAACTACAAGAAGACTAAGACTCTTGTTCTGCTGCTAGCTAGCTGAGAGAGGTGCCAGATACAGATTTTTACCAAGTGATTGGTATTACTTTACACCAAAATATTATTATAAATACTTTTCTACAGCTTTTGCTACATAAACAGAAGGACCCCCTTTATGAAAGGGGGGTATAGTACAATCATGCATAGCTACATAAATATTATGAATTACGCAATCAAAATACGTCAGCAGATAGCCATAGGCAACAGCTTTCCTCGGGAATTTTTCTGAATATTTTCGTAATTTTCCGATTTTCATTGTATGTTCAGTCGGATGCTCCCCTTTAGGCGAGTGTTGGTGGTGGTGGTGGTAAGTGTTGGTGGTGATGGTGAGTGCTGGTGGTGATGGCGTGTGGTGGTGGTGAAAGTGACCCATGTGTTCACTTAGGACTATGTTGGCATATAACGGACCGAGTCTGTTATTATTCCGAATCTAGATTTAATGGACTGGCCTTCCCCCAATTACTGGGTAGTCTGTTAGATTGGGGGTTTACTGTAACATCAAAGACTATACAGGATGTCCACTTGTTCAAATTATATCATCTCACTCCAACTGTGTGGCAAGAAACTGTCCAATCACTACTTACAATTTATGTACACATGTGTTGGGCAATGCCAGTACGGTACTGTTACATCCATCACAAGGCAAAAGTTTGCACAGTCCCTTATCATCTGAATCAATGGAACAATTTTCCAATCATACTTTTCAATTTTCTTGATACTGATCATATAAAGCAAGCCTTTAAACTGTAAATGTTCTGGATAATTACAACTGAACTTATGTCTGATGTAGTCATTTTTATCTAGGAAGAGCATGGGAGATTGCAATGAGAAGAAACAAATGCAAGAAAATAAAATACAGCCAAAAGAATGTTTTCCATCTTCTTCTCTTACATGGTACCAGGAGCTTCCCCATGTGAATCCTGAAAATAAGGAGACATTAATTAATATGTTTGGTTCACGTACATATAGTATAATAAACAGGTAGTTACAGTACATAAGATTAAACAACTATACTTCAAGAGGTATGAAACATAAGTCCTTGAAACACAAATGTTTTCTGGAGACAATGAAGCTCTCCTGCAGGAACATGTGTTTTATTTCTTGATCCCTGGCTAATACAGAGGCAATGGTATTACAGAAAGAAGTTAATGGGGCTATTACTTTCTTAATATAAAATTTAGTATGAGCCTACTGAAATAAGATTTGTACAAACCATTGATGACTCTTCAATTATTGGAGAGTAATAAATAAAAAGACCATTACCAAATAAAATAATTTTGTGTGTGAGCAGAACTGAAAAGATGTAAATGTGTCTGTTTGTGGATGGATAGCTTGGAAGGCCAAATTCTCCCAAAAGCTAGTGGCATTATTGAAATGCAGTTTCCAGTTATTGGAGAAGAAGAAGAAAAAAAGAAAGAAAAAAAAGGCAAATTATTTTACTTTATTTTATTTTTATTTTTTTAATTTCCACCATGGCACCTCATGAGTTAACTGTGTATTAGGTGGGTGTATAGGCATTTATCTTTGAATACTTTAAGTTTATCACTGTGTTCCAGTAATGAACTTTGTTGAATTATTCAGTAAAAATACAGGAATGCAAATTACCATGCGTCCACTCACTCATGGCAACCAAAGTAGGGGCGACAAGATCTCATTAACTGGCTATTTATTGCCTGGCATGTGAGTTGGTCAGTAGTAAATGATTAATATACAGTATACTAATTTTAGTAAAGCTGACATCAATCATGTTAGGTTAGTTTGACTATATCAGGTCTTCACTAGGTTATGCTTAAAATTTTATTCTATCAAGGCAATAAGTGGCAAAGTGTTTGGAGTGGCAACTGTCCAGAAACCAGTTGGCTAACAAACCACAAATTTACACTTTTTGTTTATCATCTGTCACCTTGCACTTGTTAAATATTAACTGACAATGACATGTACTGCACATACAGCTCTTCCCCGACTTTCGACCACCCGGACATACGACAGCCTCAGTAGTACCAAAATGTTGTCAAATTACGTATTTGAGTCCCAACGTCAGTGATTGCGCTGTGTACTGACAAAATTTTTGTTTGTAATTCACTTTAAAATGGCTGGCAAGCTTAAAAGTGAGAGTTTTGTGGTGCTGAGAAGAAAAAGAGACACCCATTTTAGATTTACTATGTATTATTTAAGCATTTTCGACTTACGACCTGGATTTGGGTCCCTAACCCCGTCGTATGTCGGGGAGGAACAGTATTGCCTTCATTAAAAGGTGAGTAAATGGTTGGTAAATAAAATATGGTGAGAGAATGGTGAAAAGGGCAGAATGGTAAGGTAGCCAGGCATGTGTGGGGTAGAGAGGCATGTGTGGGTAAAGAGGCATGTGTGGGGTAGAGAGGCATGTGTGGGGTAGAGAGGCATGTGTGGGGTAAAGAGGCATGTGTGAGGCAGCAGGGCATGGGTAAAGTTCGTAGAGTGGAACAAAATGAAAGGAATGGAATGCTACCGTATATACTTTGTCTTTCATTATAATCAGTCTCTCTCCCTTTTTCATTCAGTACATTCCTCTCTCCCTCTAAATATAGTCACTCCATCATAATTTCCTCAAAGCTCACTCCATCATAATTTCCTCAAAGCAAGTGAGTAATTGAATAGTTTCACCCAGTCTAGTATCTACCTAACTATATTTACCAATTTATGTAACAGAAACACCTTTTGTACCAACTATTTAGGAGAAAATCCCTACCATTTAGAGTAAACCATCCCAATACTCTACCTGACTAATTCGAGCAATACGTTAGTGATATTAAATAAGCATATTGGTGATGGCAGTTATAATAAATGGGAAAAAAATGGTTGCAGGTGAACTAAGCATTATTTTAACATATTTTCATTATTAATAATGAAAAAATCACAACTTTAGAGTTTTCACTCATTATTCAAAAGGTTGAAAATAAATTTTAGTGAATCAGATCCTCGTAATTTGGAGTCTGCCTATATCACAAACTAGGCATTGTCAACACGCTCCATGCACAATGACTTCCACATTTCATACTGTGTTTGTACCTATGCAGTCTTATAGTGATGTTGCCATTAACAAAGATATGAGAAGTGTCAATTAGGGACCTACAAAATCTTGCCATATGCCACATCAGCATGGCTAGCCACCAGGCTCCCAAATTTCACACTGCCTCAATCACCACCACCACCATCCATAGCTATCTCAGCTATTTACAAGCTAAATATATTTAATTTTAGTGTACATTTTATCATAAATACCAAAGGTGAGGGTTTCCAAACTTTTAAACAAAAAAAGTTTATAATTTTCTTTATTGTTGGTGGGCCTATACTTTATCCCCCCAAATCCCATAAAAAGTGAACCTGGCATATTATGTACAATATTATACTTTTTGCATCACTATCTTTAAATGAATCTCGACCATTTAAGGAGAAGCACTGTATAGATATATCCTCCAATACTCTATGGTGGAAGTATAAAGAAATTACAAGCAGGGGAAAGAAGAGCGCAGTCATCAAAAGACAAAATAAGAGGAGTAATGTTAAAGGATATTAAATTTAGGTAATGGGAAGATCAAAGGTTAGGGATGACTGAGGATTGTATGGAGCATGCAAATATGCAGCAGTGCACCAGTTAGTGCTGATAAAAATAAAAATGATACTAAAAGAAGTAACATTAACCCCTTCCATACTACACACTTCAACATGCCAATGCCAGCTGTCATGCATTAGAGAGAACAGTAGAAGAATCCTAACCCTCTCATTACTAAGGGTTCCCCCTTAGCTGAGTATCATTGACTGGTGCTAGCCAGAATAATATCCTTAAAGTTTTTCATAGCAGTCAGTGGGTTAAACTTCTCCCATGAAGACCTTCCATAGGTAGGTGGATGATCAATCTACAAAGAGAAACTAAAGTTTACTTAACTTAAAGTAACTTACACTAATAGAAGTGAGTGCTCAGTGCAGGAAGCTGCCTGGGTCTTCAATCACACGTGCAACACTCGAGGTGTACTGAAAAAAAAAATAAAAATAAAAAAGTAATACTGACACACAGCAGTAAACATTTCTATCAAAAAGTAATCCTGACAAAGCTCAACATTTCTAACTTAAAAAATATACTGATATACTGTACACCAAGTAAACATATCTATCGTCAACAATTAATGCTGGCTCACAGCTACTGTACTGTATACAGAACACTGTATTGCTAACATAAAAAGTAAACACAGCCTGTCAACATTCCAAATACTGTATTAACTGTTTTCTTGAAACATAACTTCGGGATATGCCAGACTAAATACTGTACTGATACCAAAATAGTTTAGTACCACTTAAACTCAATTGAGGTATCTCTCGTTTAACGATGGAGTTGCATTCCTGAAAACCCAACATTAAGCAAAATTAGCGCTACACAAGTTAACTATCAGATTAAAATTTTAGTAACCCCTCAAAAATACCCATTAGTATTACTGTAATTCCTTGCATACTCTAGCATCATAAGTCAAAATTACCATCAGTACAGCCATTACTATCATCACTCTGCATATCGTCTGCCCGTGAATTTGTTGACAAGAATGAAGTTCAGTGAAATGTACAGTCCCCTTTACTAGTGCATTTACAGGGACTTGTCAGGTTTTGTGCAGTGTGGCAGTGCTGTGTTTGTTCACATTTACAGAAGGAAACTAGCAATAGTAAAAATACTATGGAATCAAATTAAAACAATATTAAAACAAATATCTCTAAGATAATGATTTGTGGAATGTTTATATGATGAGCCCCTGTAAACACACTAGTGAAGGGGATGGTACCTACTGTGTCCAAAATCCTTAAAGCAGTAATAAAACATTTAATCATTTACTGATATTAACTTGACCAAAATTCTTTACTCTTATTTCACAATAAAAATTAAATATATTTTTGCATGGTAGATTCAGGAGGGTAAATGTGGACATACTGTACGTTCCCATTATTGAGGTCTAGGAAGTGAACAGGCAGTTATGATTCTTATATAAAAAAATTAAGTAATTGGAACACGAAAGCTTTTCAAATTCAGATGTACCCTGTACGAAAAAAATAAAACAATTGAAAGTGTGTGTGGCAACAATGGTAAACATCCTGTTAATGGTAATATACATTGTTGCTCTTAATTTACTGATATTCATATATCATAGCAAGTAATGAATCACACTCTTGAGTCAATATATACATATTACAATAGTAAATTACATAAATTTTTTTGTTTAACAATACATTGTCATCACTTAACGTTGTCCCAGTTAAAGTTGTTTCTTTATTATGCTGATACTATTTTTATATCAATGTTCCACATCACGTGTAAAATAGTTATTACATTGTCAGTCAGACGGTACTACATTGCTCCATTAACACTTTCCTCGTCCACCTAGTGATGCTGTACAATGTCACTGCGGAGCATCAATTTCCCTTACGCCTCTACTGAGTGTGGATGCCGTCAGGTGTTCTGTGTACCTCGTGTTTGCCTTGATTACATTGTTTGGCTCTACTTTACCCATTGTTATGGCTTCAAAATGACCAGCAAATGATTCTGCTATTAGTGCTAGTTGCAAGAAGCAACAGAGAAGCCAGCGAATGTATTGTGGATAGGGGGGAAGCGTTGGGTTTACCTTCTACCACAGAGCATATTATTTGTGCTAGTGCTGAGAAAATTAAGACCAGTGTTGGAAATGCTTCGTCTTTGAGTGCTACTAAGACAAGTAACACTCATAGTGAAGTGATGGGAGCAGTGGGGGAAAGGGGAAGACCCTCTGGGTCTCAGTGACTCCCACCACTCGCTTGCTTTGCCTTAGGCCATCAGTTAGTACAAAATATCATATTATATATTAATTAAACATTACTGTAGTGTAATTTATATTTGTGTGTATTTACAGTGCAAAATATACAGGTATTTACAATCATGTTCACATTGTCTTATTTATGGTACATGTTATAGGGGTGAAGGGAGGCTGGGAATGTAACCTACTTATTTCTTAATTTTCTTTTGGGAAAAATTGATCCACTTAACATTGTTTCACATAACGTTCCAGTTTACAAGAATGTAACCACAATGTTAACAGAGGACTTACTGTATATCACAAATGCCAACTCCACTCCGACTTGGGGGAGCAAGTCCATGAGTCAGGATTATTTTTTTAACTGCACTGTAATATACTGTACAGACACTCCCTGGGTTATGGATGAGTTCCATTCCTGGAGGCTATCCAAAAGCCAAATTTTCTGTAAACCAGAAGTGACCCTTCCAAAGGTAATCATTGAACACACTTAGTACACATACTGTAATGTATATACCATACTAGTACAATTACAATACAGGTATGAAACCATTTATCTGGCATGCTTGGGACCTAAGAGTTGCCAGATCTAGAGTTCTGCAGGGATTTGGAGCACCAGGCCTAAAATGTTCAAAATGTACAGCAAACCCTCGTTAACTGCCTGTGAAGACTGTTCAGATCACTAGATTCACCCCTAAAAGTAGCTTTAGCTGTACACTATAACATAAAAACTTGAAATTGTAGACAAATAAACATCAGTTGCAAAAACAAAAAACATCAATGAAAGCAAAAATTATACAAGTTAAGTGTTCAAACTACAAAGCAGTTGCCCTTGGTGCTTGCCTTAACAATGCAGCACGGGAACCAATCAACTATGTGTAGGTATAGACGAGCGGCGTGGCTTACGGGCCAGCTTAGCATGGAAATACTATAGTGTAGATAACACACAGATACAGAAGTGATAAAAATAACTGAGAGAGTTTGCCAACAAATTGAATGATTCATTCAATGAATACTATAATTAATGTACAAAAAACATATGAGGTTAATGGAATTTATTTACATGACCTCAATACACCGAAGAAGAACTGGCTACAATGAGATTGCTACACTTCACCACTCCTTAGAATTAGGATGTTAAAAGTGACAATGCCAACAAAGCTACAGATAATCATTTAGATAAAAAGAACACAGCAATGCAAGTCTGAAAAGGTAATAAATGTCATGCAAAACAAAGTACTGTACTGTAATTGGTACAGGAATCATTAAATGGTTGAGAAAACAACACCCGAGCAAACCTTTTCAAGAGGGAAGCTGGTTCACCCGGTTTTATGACTACATTACTGTATTACTCTCAAAGATATGCTATTTTTCACAACACAAAACACCATGAAAATTTCTACACATACCTCTTGCCCAATATCCAATCAATGAGCGTGGATGACGTGCCCTGAGCCTCTCGAGCTGTGGGAGAATCTAAAATAGTACCAGAGGTAAAGTTATCCAGTATAGTTGATGGTGCTTCAAGTTTTGGTTAGGAGTGAAAGATTTTGTTAAATTAAATTTCTTTGGAGATACTGTAACTAATTTTGCATGCACTATCAATTAAGAATAGAAATGAAAGAAAAAGAAAGATAACTACTTATACATCTAATTACAGTGGACTCCCTACCATCTGCAATGGGTAGAACTAGAGAGTTGATGAATGATTAACTTTAGCATATACATGTACTTAACAATGTGGCAAGTATACTGCATTTGTATTATAATACAAAAGTTACCCAACACTAAATTTATAATAAATATAAACAGTAGTTACATTTCCTCTACACACATAAATACACTAAACTCTCAATAATTTGACATACATACTTGAATTTTTGCACCATTTTGTTAGGATGTTGAAATTTTAGTCAATATACTGTATTGTATCACCAAACTTGCATAAGAAAAAACCATTAGGTGGCAAAGCATACAAAATTCACAAAATAAAAAAGTCTAATCAACAAATGGTATACAGGGGCCCTCGTTATCCGAGTATACATTATCCATGGATCTGCAGTTACAAGCTCAACTTTTTGTAGAACTATAAATAAAAATTCCCCAAACTTACAAGGATTCCACGGATGAAATCCATCAGTCTACCATTCTCTCAAAGTTCATCTGTCTCACCCGTGCCACTCAAGCGTAGTAACAATCATGAACATCCCCAAACCTGTTTTGAAAGTGCTCTGAGGATTTTTTGTTACTTTATTGCCTTTGGTGATATTGGTGGAATTTTTTGTAGCCATGAGTTCCAAACTGAAGCAAAGTGGTGTAGTGCCTAAAAGGAAGTGTAGTAGCTATAGGATGGATATGAAATTAGAAATGAGCTGTTATAAGAAGAGTGTGAGTGGTGAGCGTGTGTCCGACACCTCACAAGCCTTGCACATGCCTGAAACACCGATCCATACCATACTTAAGAAACCTAAAGAAACAGAAACGAGGACTACAATATTACTGAGACATTCAGAGGTGAAATTAACATGGCAAAGGAGTGATGTGATGGAAAGTATGGTTCACTGATATGAGTGTGTGAGTACGTGTGTGCACAATTGCCTGACCGCGTGGTTAGGTAGCCTGTGTCGCGTCAATACACAGACCCCAAACAACTTTAGGTATGTTAAATAAGTAATAATATAAAATAATATGATAAAATTATGTGCAATCAAATGTTTAAAAAATGTTTCTAGTATATACAATATATGCTAAAGATATCAAATTAAACTTTTTAAGTGTCATTTACAATGTAACAGTCCCAATTAGACCCTATTCCTATTATTTCTTATGGAAATAAATTCCCCTTATCTGTGGAATCACTATACGAGTATTTTTTCTGTTCCTTATTACGGTAAGCTCGGATAATGAAGACCTCCCACAGTATAAAAAAAAATATTTAGAGTAGAATGAAGTGAAGATCACATACTGTACATACTGTATATGGATATATAAGGTGTCCAGTAAATTGAGGAAAAAATGCTTTATATCTTTCAGTATGTCTAACCAATGATCAGTTCAGCTGTGCCTCTGTCCTGTGAGAGGAGATGTGTGGAATATATACACCAAGGATCTAATTACCACAATTAATCAATCAATGTGAAATCTATGACAGTGTTCATCATTCCATCCTCTCTACGAGAGAAGAAGGTATGCATAGTTTCTACTTCAGTGTCCATTCTTCTGCAAGGGAGGCCTTGGTACAAGTATAAAAATAAACAATACCACAAATGGTCTAACTCATCCCCCACATTATATTGATGTCATATATGGTGCTGGAGGTAAAGTGGAACTCATCTATGATGCTACATTGGGTAGCTTCAGCATCATCCAATCAAAAACTGAGGTTTTAGCAACAAAAATACTCTTGTATTTCAATCTGGGCTTTGTCTGAGAGATGCCAAACAGTTGTGCATGCTTCTCAGGCCACCTGACCTGACACAACATGTGTGGGACAATTCTGACAGTCACACTAATTTAGCAAATATTGGCCACAGTAAAATTTACCTCAGGATTTAATCAAAATCAAAATCTGCCAAATTAGTGCAAACTCTAAATTAGTGAATGCCAAATTAATGAAGTTAAGCATGCTATGAATGTCTTAATAGTAAATAGTGTATATAAAGCAAGTTACACAGCTGCACTTGAGATCACCAGAGTGATCCAGGTTCACACCACTACTGTTTATTTGACCTATTATGCATACAATATAGAATAACTCACATCAAAGGTCAGCATCAACTGCTCCATATCCGATAAATATGTGCTACACAGCCATAAAATGTATGGTTACAACTCTTTCCATGGTTGATAGTTAACAATTCGTCACATAATTAATTACGTATTCTGAAATTGGAGGACACTTTACAATTGTAGATACCATTGTAGGTCAGCAGATAGTTGGGAGTCCACTGAATATCCATATTACACCTTCATATTGAACAATCTTAAAGCTAATCTACAGTTAATCAGTTAGAGTCAATATCAATGAAATAAACATAAATTTTTAAATAATGCATAACAAAACAAAACAGGAATACATCTTACTGAGTGTGTAGTCGGCATGCCTGGTAGCTGTCGGAGTAGGAGGAGCCGTGTGAGGGGCAAACATGGGAGGAGGAGGAAGACCACCAATTGTTATTCTCCTGCCCATGCTGGTTGACACTGCACTCTGGAGACTTGAAAGGGCTTTCTGTTCTAGAGAGTCATTCAGTTCTCTTAGTTCAGCTAACCTGGAAGATGATATCATGGTTAAAATCAACAGGTACTTATGTAGTAATAATAATAATGCAGTGGTCCCTCGGTTAACAAACTCAATTCGTTCTAGAGGGTTGTTCGTTAACCGAATCCATTGTTTCAATGGGATATTGGGTAATTGGTTCCAGCTCACCGAAAAGTACATACAAGTTAAAAAAAAAATGCAGTAAAGTACACTTACTGAGGTGTGTATGTAGAAGGTTCCTGGTTGATGATGATGATGGGAATTAGAAGTGGGGGTGGAGGAGAGAGGAGAAGAAAAGAAAGTGGGGATGGAGGAGAAATCACCTTTCAGGGGGCCCATGCTTGATGCTGTCATTTCACCAATAAAATTTTAAGTTCACTAGATGTAATTCAAGATTATTTTATTTACATCAACACTGCACTGCACTAAATATTATCAATATGTCAACTAAATTTCAGCATGATCAATAATTTCAATGAAAAATACAAAAATATTCAAGACACCAACAAAATAGATGTTCACTCCACTGTCACCAAAGCCCAACTGACGTCTTGTGGCTGAGTCAAGCTTCTGATGGGCGCACAAAAAACTAGTCCCCTGTACTGCATATATTATCAATATGTTAAATAAATGTTAAAATAACTAATAATTTTAATATAAAAAATGAAAAAATATTAAAGAGCACAACTTTCTTGATATTTACGCCACTGGAAATAAATGTAAACATAGAACAGATTACTGAAGTGGCAGACTAGCCCATCAGCTGATGCTCACAACAAAACTTAATGTTCGTAAGAATTTCGTTAATCAAATTTTTCTTCGTTAACCGAATTGAAGACTCTTATGGAAGGTAATTCGTTAACCGAAATTTCGTTAACCGAACCGTTCGTTAACCGAGGGGCCACTGTAATAATAATAATAATAATAATAATAATAATAATAATAATAATAATAATAATAATAATGTAATAATAATAATACAGTAATAATAATAATGATAATAATAACAATGCAAGAAACTAGTGTATTTTATACTGTATATACTTTTCTGTGAGCTGGAACCAATTACCCAATATCCCATTGAAACAATGGTTTCGGTTAATGAAATTTTCGGTTAACGAACGACCTTCTGGATATAATTGTGTTAGTTAACCGAGGGACCACTGTAATGCAATATGATCAGTTCAAGCTCTTTATACTACTAAACACACTCATAATTTCCATAGATAGATTTTGCTGTATTTTTATTATAAAAATTAATGGAATAAAACAAAAAAATATTGACAACAAAGAAACTTATCACCCAAATTTGTTGAAATTTTAATGGATTCACTGTTGGATGATTCTAAATACAGCATTAAAATTTAATATAAATTCATCCATTAATAAAAAAAAAAGCTTTTCCAGCTGGTGATCCCCTTAAGGCTTATCAAACTTGCTTTATATGTCCGCTTTATTTTTTTGCTTGACCGTATGCGCGACAAAGCCAACCTATCTGTGCGAGCTACAAAATTCCAGTGTGATTAAACTCTGAAAAAAGAGACATAAGCAAACATAATTCCCACATAAGCAGATCTGCTTTCTTACAATGGAAGGCTGTCCAGTGAGCCCACCAACTGGCTTACAAATCTTTTCCCAACAACTTGACCACTAAAGAGTGTTAACCACTTTTATAGGAGCATTTGAAATAAAAGCTGGGTTGGTTATCACACAAGTGAACCAGTCACTGCCATTAATGTGCACTGTGAAACAGGAATTATATAAAAAAGTTGAGAGTTGCATGAGTATGCATACATGAAAGGAATAATGAAAAAATTACCTCAGGAAAGATAGGCAGAGTTGGATTAAGGGTTTTGTAGGCCCTGGGCACTTTTTTATTGTAGGCACCTAAATTTCCTGATGCACCATTATGTGCCTTACTTTAACCCCACAACCTTCAAACATCACGCCAACACCGTGCGTGCTGCCACCTTTGGATAACAGCAACTAATGGGTTAGTTGACGCAGGCAGAGACGCCAAGATGTAAGTTTTCCATAAATTTAGGTTAGTCTGTTTTATTGCGGTTTTTGCATGTTAAGTCTAATAAATATACTCATTGTTATTAGGCTTAGGATAATTATGGATTTTCATATGCGCATAAGCAACTGCATATTTTAGCACTTTTGAGCTGAAGCACATATTATTACTTTTTTGTTTCATAAGGCAAATATCGTAGGCCTTGGGCACTGTGCCCCCTTGATAATCTGGCCCTGAAGATAGGCACAGGTATAGGTACCAAGAAATATGGAGAATGGAAAAACAGCATTCCTTGAAAGGATACTGAAGATGTATACATAATGTGCCACACCACATAATGATGCATACAGCAGCTATATAGGAGAAGTGCTATATTCCTTCCACTGAAGACTGACCCCAAACATATTCATTTTCAATTCATGCAACATTGTTTTTATATAACCTAATTTTTATTCTAGTCTTATTAAACAACTACTAAACTGATATGACAACAATCTACTTCTCTTGGGACAAATCTAATCCTTCATCTTATTTTCTACATGAATAATTCTCATCATGAAAGAAAATCACATTTTTAAATTCTGTAGAAATTGCTAACATGAAAACTGAGTACAGTTGTACATTGACACACTCATGCACCGCCTTATTTATAACAAATACCCCTCCAAAACACGGACTAGTTCTGAACTTGCAACCTTCTTGCATGGAAGAGCCATACTCTATCTATTTTTCTTTGGATAGATTTTTTGGCAACCAGTTCATTTTTTTATATAAAATCAACTATATTATATGTACAATGGATTGCTCTTTCACATGAAGCAAGAAAAATAGTGAAAAAGTAAAAAAGAAGAAATACAGTAATTATGATGATTTTAAGTCAAGCATTACAGTAATAATAAGGCTGGTAAATTGGAAAAAAAGGAATACGTATAGGTACAGTATCTGAATTTTTTCCATAATCATTCACTCTCTTTTTAATTTTTGGCCATTATTTTCATATATACGAGTAGTTATTTGTTTCATTTTTTCTATTCATACCTGAAATATCCTGAAATATAACTGCAACCACTCTATAAACACTTATAAAACACTTCACAACACTTATCATCACTTTTACAGATAGCTGAGACATTGTATCCACAGTGGGGAATTTATTATGCAGTTCACATACATGAGTCTTACAAGTTTGAACAAGTGAAATATCGTAAAAAATAAAAAAATTAATGCTTTGTAAACACTTATATACTCTTTCCAAACACTTTCCAGGTTAATATTAGTGCACATTGGATGGCACAAGTGTGGGGGTGGATATCAAGATAAATTTAAGGGGCTCACTCACTAAGCCTTCAAGCTTTACTGTTGGGACAACAATGATGTCTTATGGTTGGCGTGCTATGGACTGTTGCCAAGTACCCAATTAGTGATGGATTACCACGAGAGAGGAGACCTACCAGAAAGACATGCCGAAATATCATGTGTCAATCGGAATTACTCTATTTTTCGTGAATTCTTTTCTCTTGAATTATTTGCAATAATATAATTTTATACTATAACTCACTTTTGGTCCAAGGATGGCTCAGGGGAGACTGGAGCAGGTAACTGGTGACTAAGACTCAATTCTCGACTGAGTTCTTGTGTCTGTCTTAGAGATGCACTTAATTTGAGCTGCAAAGCATCTCTTTCTTCAAGAAGCTGTAAAGACAAAGGTAAAAGGATTTAGATTACTGATAGGTAGAAAAATTCATATATATTTTTAATTAGAGAATGATAATTACTGTAACATATTAATAAAAATATGTACTAGAATGCCCTGAACTCGATTCATTAAACATTTTAAGCCATAAACTATTACAGCTACTCCTCGACTTACAACATACTCGACCTACGACCACCCGGACATACGACTGCCTCAGTCGTACCAAAATTTTGTCAAATTACGTATTTTCGAGTCCTAATGTTAGTGATTGCACTGTGTACTGACAAAATTTTTGTTTGTAATTCACTTTAAAATGGCTGGCAAGCTTAAAAGTGAGAGTTTTGTGGTGCTGAGAAGAAAAAGAGACACCCATTTTAGATTTTCTATGTATTATTTAAACATTTTCGATTTATGACCAATTCGACTTACGACCTGGATTTGGGTCCCTAACCCCGTCGTAAGTCGAGGAGCAGCTGTATTAAAAAAACTGAAACATTTTATGAAATGAACAAGTTAAAATCTCAAATTCAAATAATAAAAAAAAGTAAATGTATCTGTGATCCTGCAAAATTGAACCTGGCTGTGTACAATTAATAGCATTAACACAGGAAATATACAGTTCTTTTTTGCCTTCATTCCCCCCTCCCATTGCAGTACCAGGGATATTGTGACCAGAGCCACTTCTGGGAGCTTAAATACAGCCTCTAACAGTAAAAGTATATCCTAACTACTTTGAGTCACATACCAGTAACTTGTCTTCCAACCATTGTGTACTGCCGTATATCTACAATCTCAGTTGTTCACAGTAAAATTTTTTTTAGACTAATACCACATGCCACCTGGATGACTCTTGTGTACTATTAGTGGTATGAGTACTATTGGTTGGGAACCACTGATTTAGAAGATGAGAAGGTTTAGTGTATGTGTCAAGCTAAAAAAAAACCCTCAAAATTCTTATACATTTATTAAATTTAGATTTAGAAAAAGTGTTTTTATTAATTACATGGAACATGGAGAAAACCTAATACAGTACTGTATACAGTACTTATGTTTGGCTTAGCTTTGTTCTTCACTTACCCCTTACCTAAGCAGTCTAGTCATAACAATATATTTTATCTAATACTGGGTACCCAGGTACTGTATCTATATTACTTATGGAATTAATGAATGAGGAACTTTATAACATGAAAATAAATCTCAATACAATATTTCATTTTCAATAACCAAAAAGGTGGGTTTGTAAAGATACCTTTGTGATCTCAAATGACAGCTGTTGACATCGAAGGTCCCGCAAGTGGAGTGATGCTAAAGCTGCTTCTAGTTCTGTGCCAGAAGATGCTGATGGAGTGAACACAGCATCATCATCATCCTTATTTGTTCCTGCAAGCATGGTGAGGGATGCCTCTGCTGTCTCAAGCTTAAAGAAATATTTACAGTAATATGAATGAAGATTCAATACAATACAATACAATACAATACAACATTGCCACACTATAAAATACGTACAGTATTTTGACAAATATAAGCTGCACCTTTTTTCCTCAAAATTTTGGCAAGTGGGGTGCGGCTTACTATGATACAAATATTAGTAACGTCTCAAAAATACCCATAAGTATTACTGTAATTCCTTGTGTGCTCTAGCATCTCCTCTAACCAGTCCCCACCACCATTAATTCCTCACCCTAAGTCAAAATTATCATCAGTACAACCATTACACTCATCACTCTGCACGTCATTTACCTGTGGGTTTATTTACAAGAATGAAGTTCAGTGAACCATACCTACTATGTCTGAAACCCTCAAAGTACAGTAGTCGTAGAGCATTAATTCATTTACTGATATTAACATATGCAAATCTCTGTACATTAGAACATGAATATATGTTCGTGTCATTGAGGTCTAGGAGGCGAACAATTATACTTTACTTTACTTTACTTTACTGGTATCACCTAACATTTAGCAAAATTATTGCTAAAGGAGTGATAACGGCAAAGCACAAAGAGTAGGGCAGTAAACACTGAGTACAGTACTCCCTCCTTTAAATGAGTTCATTATAAACAGTTTCAAAGTTAAAACATTGATTTATTAACACCAAAAATTCTATATATATGTTGTGGTTCAGAGTTAAACAGTTTAGTGAGCATAAGATGAGCCTAATTCAAACAAATTTCAAATTGCATGTAAAAAAAAATGCTATGACAAACAATAAAATTGATACATAGCATATCATATAACAGCACACAGTATTTTATTTACAAAAAATAGATCCTACCACACTGAAACCATCTTCTAGGAGACATGACACAGATCAGCCAGGCAGTCAGTCACCCATCTGATTAAGGGATGTGTGTGGCTGCAGTGTGTGTATACCATGATGTCACATCAGAGGAGGGAGCACAGGTGGGCTGGTGACACAGGTACAGCCCACTGCCTCCACACATACGTTCATTTCCCACATATACACACCCATGTTCTTCAATATTCTTATTTTATAGTTTTATATGATACTTTCTTTATTTCTAAGACACATTAGAGTACCGGGTATTGCAATAATTTTTCCACAATTTTGATAGTTTCATTACATGTAACAATGGCAATATGCATAGCCATCTCACAGGCCACCCCATCCCTAGTATTTCCCCTTTCCCAGTAAGCCAAGCTATCGTTAATCTGAATTTTGACCTATTGTTAAGCAAGAAAGGGTGTCACTTTTTTTTTTTACTGCTAAACCGAATTAAAGTTAAGTGAATTAACGCTGAATGACGGATACCTGTACAGTACCTTATCCTCTTCACCACAGATCAGCTCATTAGCCGCTTGGGTGGTCAGTCATGTCTCTATTACGCAGTGTTGGCAAGCACTGAGCATGTATTGGCTTCAGAATGAATCTGTATCTGCACCAGTGTTGTTCAAAACTGGTCTTGAATGAGCTAACACTCGGTGCCGTCACAACGCAGTTACCAGCATTCTAATATCCTAATTTTATGTTATTTTTGTTATCAAGCCATTATGAGAGTTTTTCAAATTCAGATACTGTATATGAAAAAATCACAAAAGTATGTGTATGTGGCAACAATACCATACCTTTGGGTAACGGTAATACATTAAAAAAAAAGATTACCGAACCACCTAAGTAACGACACATCCGAATATCAAAACGAATCTTAGAAAAAATTATTTAAATTTTGAAAAAATACCTTGAGAGTCATTGTTATTCTTGTGGAGAAATGAGGGATGGACCAATTGCCAGCCCACATCACAAAAACACAGTTGCGCTGTACTCAGTCTATGTGTGGTTGTTACTCAGTGCATATGTGCCTGTTCTCTCATGACATATAATCAACACACATTGCTAGAACAATGCCCAAGCAAGTTCACTCAGGTAAGATCCCAAAGAGCAGAAATATGGACAAACTTGAAGTGCTAGCCTTGGTCGACATTAACGCTCTGTTCCTGAGATAATGCAGAAGTTTGGAACTTTGAATTTTCTGAAAACATATCATAAGTGGGATTCATTTCATCTCCACTGAAAGTGAAAGTGGGACCCATACACGCCCGCATGACCTTCACTACATAACACACGTCGCCAGGGAGCTGTGGCCTTGAGATGGATATGCATGTTGCCAATGATTTATGTAATAAAACTGTAAAAGCTGTGGGAAAATCATATAAAACTAAAAAAAAGAAAAAAAGAAATAGGAGACATGTCACGTGACCTGATTACCGTATACTCTGTTCAGGATCATGTCCCCTCCGGACTGATCCTGAATACAGTACTGTCAAGAAGATTATCCATAATCCCCACCACATCTCAACTAAGGAAACAGGTCATGTGACCTGATTCCATTGTTCTATGTCATTCTCCCATATTTTGTTTTGTTAGTTAGTTGAAGAGGGTCCTAGTATACCAGCTCTAAGATTTCGTATTTCATTTCTCCAATGTGGGTTTTTACTTAATTTACCAGTGTGACCATTACACTTTTGGAATATGATCTACATATTATCAGCTCACCTTGCAAAGTACAGTAAGTGTTACATTTATTTATTACTGTATTATTTACTTTATTATTACTGTTGTACATTTAAAAAAATATGTTTGTGCAGTAATTACAAATATAATATTTGATGCAGCAGCCAATGCAATGTAACTGAATATGTTTGTTGGTTGGAATAATGAGGAACAAACTGAACAGAAAATGAAAAAAAATCATAAATTGTTGAATACTGTACATGTACAGTGATGTCAAAATATTCCGAACTCAATTAATTAAGATTTTTTGTTAATTCGAGTGACCCCAAACCTCCTTTTTGTTGAATTAATGGGGTAAATTGTACTGTACTTTCAAGTTGACATAATGATAATCACTTTTTACATCTTAACACTGCTTTTACAGTATTTTGGGCTGATCATAACCTGGTACAATAATGTACAGTACCCTACTGTACAACACAGCTCGTTTGCAAAAACAGCAATGACCGAGCGAACAAGCTTGTACAATGACATCAGAAAATGACCTTATGGTGACTAGAGGGCTAGAGGGATGTGGCTACAGTGATGAGACTAATTTTGCAACAAAGCCACCAGCGATGTTAAGTGTAACACTTAAATGAGAACACAACCATCCCCAGCTGTGAATTTAAACATAGAAACTGAATGGCAGGGAGGGTAGTCAGGGCTCACCACAAGGGGTGGGGAATGGAAGAACAAAAGACTCAGGGTGGGAGAGATATGGAGGAAGGGGGGAGTAGGTTATGATCATTGAGCAAGAATATGTCTCTGCCCATCTCTCCAAGATGGCTGCCCCAGCTGACTCCTGGGGGCGCACAAGTTGAATTTTTGCTTGGCCCAAATTCGTAAAAGTGGGAGAAGCTTTCGTTAAATGAAAGAGGTGTTAATTTAGGAAATTTGTACAGGCAAATTTTTTGTATCTTGAACATTCATTAAGTGATGGATACCAGTACATACTGTATATCCAAAGGGAAAAGACTGGTGACCTGGGAGACTGCCTCATCAAAATACTTCCTGGCTGAACTTACCTTGCCCAGAGGGTCATCTGCATTATTAGGTAGGGACACTGTCCCACTGGATCTGTGAAAATGACCCAGTCAAACCAGGATTTATGAAGCAACCTCTGACCCCAGCTCAGTGGTTGCTTCAAAGACCTGCAAATTCAGCAGGAACACTGAAATGTACCCTGGACCTGGTTCACCTGACTCGGACCACTCAACCATTAATTTGCATTAAAAACTTTATGCATTACATTTTCCTAAAAATAAGGAAAATAAGGAATCCAACTCATGAGGGAGGATGGATTCCAAGTCACCTGTCTTGTCCCCGCAGCCATATTATGGAATTTCATACTTCAGTCATTCACCAAGCGACCAGGGAGATTATTCAAAACTAACCAGAAAATGAATGAATGAAGGCGAGTGTCACAAAAAAACATCAGAAAAACCTCAACAAGGTAGTACAGGTTGACAATCCCTTATCCAAAATCCTTGGGGCTAGAGGCATTTCGGAATTTTTCGGTTTTCGGAATGGTTAGGTTAGGTTTTTATTTTTTATTTTGTGTGTATTAGCCAACCCAGGCACAAGTCACTGACCCATATTGGGGCCTAGGGGGCGAAATAATAATAATAATAATAATAATAATAATAATAATAATAATAATAATAATAATAATAATAATAATAATAATAATAATAATAATAATAATAATAATAATAAATCATAGGTCTAGGTCGTGTTTCTCACTTTTATCTTTTTTTCTTTCTTGGGTTTCTTTATTATTATTAATATTATTTTATTAATACAGTATTATTGTTATTATTAATATAAATTTTATATTATATTTTATTATTCTTATTATTATTATTGTTATTATTATCATCATTATTATTTTATTTTATTTTGGTGTACAGTGATCCCTCGGTTAACGAGATTTCGGTTAACGATTTACCTTCCATAAAATTCTTAACTTCGGTTAACGAGCAATCCCTCGATTAACGAGTTTTTTACGAGCTGACTTCAACATGTTTTCGCTTGCATTTGGTGGTCCACCAGCTGTAGTATTAGTCCGCCAATACAGTAATCGGTTTTAGGGCTTAAATTCCTTACTATTTTAGTAAATATCAAGAAGTTTATACTATTCAATAATTTTAAAAGTTAAATATTAACTTTTTTAGTCAATTTAACAATTATTGAACATAATTGAAGGTAAAGAAACTAGTTTCTGGCGTGCCATCCAGCCTGTTAACACACCAGACAGGCGTTAGTCTCTCTCTGTTTTCAGTGGAGGTAACATCTTGCTTGAGACTCTCTCCAACTAAACACTTTTTTTCTGTGTTTCCAAGCAAATTATTGGTCATTTTGAAATTTATTTTACATATTGACAATGTATAATGCAGTGCAGTGTTGATTTAAAGAAAATAATCTTGAATTACAGCAAGAGAACTAAAATTTCATGGGTGAAATGGTGCCATGGGGTGACTTCTCTTCCACCCCAATGCCTTCTCTTCTCCCTTCTCCTCCACCCCCATTCTAATTCCCATCATCATCATCATCCAGGAGCCTTCTACATACACACCTCATAGTAAGTGTACTTTTCTACCTTTTTTGTTGAATTTAGGCAATTTTCGGTGAGCTGGAACCAATTACCCAAAAACCCATTGAAACAATGGTTTCGGTTAACGAGTTTTTCGGTTAACGAGCAACCTGATGGAACGAATTGTGCTCGTTAACAGAGGGACCACTGTATTGTATTTTTTATTTAAAATTTTATTTGCTATGAGTAATTATTATTATTAAAATTAGTATTACTATTACATTTTCGCCTCGTAGGCCCCGATGTGGGTCAGTGATCTATGCCTGGGTGGGCTAATCCTGTTAAAAAAAAAAAAAAAAAATTGATTCCCCCCCCCAAATTTTTTCGGTTTTCAGAGGTTTTCGTTTTTTGGAATTTTGAATAAAGGGTTGTCAACCTGTACTTACCTCAAATACTGTATGAAGGATATAGCTTAAATACTACCTATACATTTCAGTCCAGAAAATTTCTCAAATTTGGAGCCAGAACCATGTTCTCAGATTGAACTTTAATGCTGGAAGCAAATACCGGACGTGTAACACCCAACAACATCCCATGCATAGCTAAGCCCTTCCTCCAGAGGAACGACTTGCACTTATTTAACTGACTCTTGTGATATAAAAGAGAAAGAGGCTCAAAATAAACCTTCATATTTTAAGTAAATTTTTCAGGAATGATGAAGTGACTAATCACTACTTTCTGGGCCTGAACTCTAGCTCTATGTCTATATTGAAAAACTAAATAAATTGCTCAGAATTAGTCAACAGATCTCCCAACAAGTTTGACACCACCTTATGATGGTCATACACCTTTATGTGGGATTCCACCCACTGATATAACAAATGTGTTGTGAAACTTTGGTACATGCAGCCACATCCTTCCGTATCTTCATTTTTCAAACAGCACTACTTAAGCTTTTTCTAATCTGTCGACTAGCTACGATATATTTTGTTCCTGAAACTTGGCATACTAATTCCTCTATCAATAAAATTACATTGGTCTGAATTTTACATTAACCCATGAAATCAGTGTGTTGAAGCTTATTTCACCCAAAATAAGAAAGAACTAAGTTGAATTTGTGATGCAAATGTGCAAAAATCAGTCAAGCAGTTGAAATAATCTTTTGTGTTACCCAAATATATATATATATATATATATATATATATATATATATATATATATATATATATATATATATATATATATATATATATATATATATATATATATATATATATATATATATATATATATATATATATATATATATATATATATATATATATATATATATATATATATATATATATATATATATATATATATATATATATATATATATATATATATATATATATATATATATATATATATATATATATATATATATATATATATATATAAAGAGGCCTATAAATTTCATTGAAACTGTATATACTGGGTTCCTTTAGCTTAATTCTGATGACGAACTAGGCTGAGATAAAAGTACAAACAGATGGACAGACAGGTACCTATCAGATGTATGTGCCCCTGCTAAAACAGTGATGACAAGAAAACAAAGTCATCATATACAAACCAAATGTTAATATGTGCAAAGTTATCATGTTACCTGGTGATGTAACTGCATAATTTGTTCTTGTAACTGCTCCACTTGTAACTCTAATTCTTGTGTTGTTTTAGTGGTGCTCTCCTCAGCCTGGCTCTGTTGTGCTAGCTTTGTTTTCATCGATGCTAATTCTGCCTTCATGTAACTTATTTGTCGTTCTTGGCCATCAATGGTTGTTGTGTGGAAGCTAATCTCTTCCGACTTCTTTACTAATTCATCCCGCAGGAGCTTTTGCATCTCGAGATTCTGCTCCAGGGCATTGCCAACACGAGAGGCCTTGTCCTTGGCATCTACAGCCTGTACTTCTAGTGCAGTATTCTGTACAAAAGCATTTAAACAATATTGATATCCCTTTACATATTTGTTTGGTTATACTGTAATAGTACATATGGCTTATACAGTAGAGCACAGTTCGTCATTTGCCCATGTTACTAAAAATAAATTCGAGACAACCCGATAACAGCATGGCAGCAACGAGGCAGTCGGAACAGAGGACGGCTGGCAGCAGTTATATTTTAGTGCAATTTTGTTTTACGTTTTTTAATGAGTAAAAAAAATATTTGTAGCAGTCAGTGATATCCCCGTTAGCTGGAACAATTGGTGCAGAGCACTTCCGGGAATGAGAGATTTCCAGGTAACGAGACAACTCTCTCAAAGCCGGAAAAAATCCCCCATCCCCGGAATCTTCCGGATAACGGAAAATTTTCATGTAATTTCCAGAAAATGCACTTAATTTTCATCTCTCAAACCCCGAAAAAATCCCCCATCCTCGGAATTTTCCGGGTATCGTGAAAATTTTCTTGTAATTTTCTGGAAAATGTGCCCCTCAGAAAATTTCAATTTCGGCTATCGGAGAGTTCCGGGTTTGAGGGATTCCGGATAACGGAGATATTACTGTAGTTATTTGAATTTATTATCGAGGGTACAAGGTAAACAGCACTTTGTTTGTCCATCGTACCACTACCACGTGGTCGCCCAGAAGCTCCACCCACAACTGTGTGATGTCAATCACGAACTGTGCTATTCCTCAGGCACCCTATAATAGCAGAGCAAGAAATGATACACAGTGTGCAGGGCCTTGATGGAATACAGTACTTCTCTGTGTGAAAATCTGATAAGTGTTATGACACATGGTATGAAAGTCCTACAGGATTAAATGCCATGAATATTTAAATGAAAAGTTAATGTAAAATTGTTTTGGAGATGTTCTACAAAAGTTATCTTGCTTCAGACAATAAGTCCGGTGCTCTTTTTCCATGCACTGTTTTCATGATCCTAACATTAGAAAGGGTTTTTTTTTTAGGTTTTGCATATACTGTAGTAATTACTTCATATAGAGCAAGACCTCATACACTGTGACCCCACAGAATGCATCATTATCCTAACACACAGAATGTGATTATATTTGATATTGCATGGAAAAATCATCCTCGGTCCTTATCTACAAGGCCTTATTATTCAGCTAAAAGGGTAGCTGCTACACTACTTCTTGAAAACATAATATACTGAGGGGGAAAAGAGGCAGAAAATAGCCTAAAGTCATCATCCAAGACTTTGTCATTTCTAATATTTCCTGATGGTTCACTATTGAGTTTGACCGGGAACAAAGTTTAGATGCCCAAGGATATAAATACATGTAAAGCCCTGACTGACATGACTTGCTAGAAAGTACACTATATACTGTATATACATACATAGCCATAAATACTGTAGTAATGATTTTAACCATTGTTCAGTCAGGCAACACAATCAACTCCCCCACACAGCCATCTATGATTCATATTAATTCAACAATTACTGTATCTGATTTAAAACCATCTTAACCATATCAATTACTTCTCCATCAAATTATTTGTTTAAATTTTGAATAGTTTCTCTGTGTATTGTACAGTACTACCTACTTTACAAATGTTTCACGTTCCTGTATAGATTAAACTTTTCCAAAAGTTGAATATTTAGGTATTTTACTTCATTAATGTACCAATCAAATCTTTCTTGGAATATTTTTATCATCTCATTAAAACTTGCTCTTATTATCTTCATTAAACACACCATTCATCTGAACAGGTTAATCTACTGTAAAATGTTGCCATATCTGTAGATGATAATGCAAGGCCAAGGCTATATAAAATGTGAGAAGAATTGTACCTGAGCAAAAAATGAGAAGCCTCAACAGCAAGTGCTGATGTTGAGTATCTCAAAGGTCACACTCCAAAGGAAAATTAATGTTTTTTCTCTATGCCAGGGTGTTGTTGATAAAATTTCTATGCCATCTTCATTAATTTGTTATGATTCCTTCACTTGAACAGGAGAAAAAAAAAGACCATTAATTTTCATCTGGTGTGCGACCTATGAGAGAAACTGTACATTATCTAATTGTTGCTAAAAATGAGGAACCAATCCATAGAGATCTGTAAGATATAAGTTACAAAATAAATAAACTTGATTAATGTTGACTGAAAAATTCATGCAATTTATAGGAAAAACTATGTCTGACTCACCTCTTCATGCAACAAGTTATTTTGTTCTCTAAGGCTGAAGCACTCATCCTGTAAGGCACGAATAGTTTCCTCCTCTTCTTCCTCATGCAATGCCTGCAATTGCTTCTTCAGGCTGTCAACTTCTTCTACCAAACGATCCCTTTCTCCTTTTATGATCCCTATGTCATGTTTATGACTGTCACAAACATCTCGTAGATCATTGTATTCAGCAAACAACGAGTTATAGGCAGCTTTTAATGTGCCTTGAGTGTATGAAAGCTCTTTTAACTCTTCATTTACCGTCTCCTTTTCTTTCTTTAGAGATGCATGCTCAGCATCAAGTTCTATATATGTAGACTTATAATTATTTATGTCACTTTCAGCTTTGGTTTTGGCCTCTTTTAGTTTTTCTATCAAGGACTGGAAGGAATTATTATCACTACTAAGGCTCTCAACCTTTTCTTCGAGTTCTTCAGACAACATCTGCAATCTTTCATTCTCTGATTTCAAAATCTTAATCTCCTGATGAAGTGATGAAATTTGTACTCTCAAAGACTCCACTTCATCAGAGGCTTGTGCTACAAGTCCTTGGTCTGTTACAGCTTGGACTGAAGAAGCCTGGGATTGTGTTTCCTGTGTCTGTTGCTGCTCTACAATCTCCTCCAGTTCCGAGATCCTCCATTCAAGGGCTTGCTGCTGACCCTCAAGCTCCTTGTTATGAGTTTTCAAAAGTTTGATAGTAGTGTCTTGATCCTCTTTTAGATCTAAATATTTCTCCTGAGCTACAGTGAGAACATCAACTTGGCTAACCAAGCGTTCCTTTTCATTTTCAACTTCATCTAGTTTCTGTTTTAGCTCATCCCTCTCAGTTTCTGCTCTTGTTACTTGTGCCTTCCATTCTTCCTCTAGTGCTTGGTCAAGATCAGAAAAGCCTCCAGCTTTTGCTTTTAATTTCTGTACCTCCTTATTTAAAGCTTCATTCTTATTCTGGGTTAACTTGAATTTCTGCAACATTTTTCCACTCTTCATTTTGGCAGCCTGCAATTCATCATTAAGACTATTCTTATCTTTCTCAAGGGCAATTACTTTGGCTTTAAGACTATCTATTTCCTTCTGATATGTTTGGTCTACAGATGATGACCTCAAAAGATGTTCATCCTCAATTCTTCCTTCAGCACTCCAATCTACTTCTTCAACAATTAAACTGTGTGTTTCAGATTCTGAAGTATTTTTACTACTGGGGTGAGATTCTATTGTAGCAACCTGATTTTGCAATTCATTGTATTTTAATTCAAGATCATTATACTGTGAATCAAGTAATTTAAACCTTTCAATTTCAGTTCTTAACCGGGCAATTTCTGACTCAGCTGATGTGCTGACCTCTGTAAGTCTCTGGATCTCGTCACGTAGGTGTTCGTTTTCGGAAGATATTGCCATACTATGGGCCGTCATTCTTTGTACTTCACTTTCTAAACTCTCTTTTTCTGCCTCAGTCATTTGATTTGTTTGAGACAATGCTTCATATTCCCCTCTTGCTCTATTGTTTTCTGCCTCAAGAATTTCATAGTCACTTCGTAATCTTCCATGTTCACCTTCCATAACTTCAACTTCACTTCGTAATTGGTTATTTTCACGATCTCCTCTCTGCAGTTCACTTCTTATTCTTGTCACCTCATCATCTAGATCCCTATTTTCACCCTCAAGTCGACTCATTTCAGCCTTGTAATAATCTATCCCAGTCTGACATTTTGCAGTTTCATCCTTGAGACACTCGCCTTCAGTCTGCAGTCTCAGCGTTTCAGCCTTATAGGATTCTCCTTCACTCTGAAGTCTGACAGTCTCATTTCTAAAGTGATCTACTTCAATTTGTAGTCTCATGTTTTCAGCCTTGTACAACTCAACTTCGTTTTGTATCTGTAGCACCTCACTATTAAGTTTTGTCATCTCTGCACCCAAGCCCTGTGCATCAGTCTGTAGCCTTTCTCTGTCAGTTTCCACGTCCTGGCCAGCCTGATTTAGCACTTCAATTTCATTCCTCAGTCTAGATATTTCTGATTCTGCTGACTGAACCATTAACTCTAACTCCTGTACACGTGATTTGGAACCTTCACGTTTGGTCTCGGATTCCTGTATGCATGACTGGAGTTCACCATATAGGGCCTCCACCTCAAGAAGACGCATTCTCTCAGTTTCTGCTTCAGCTAGTTTGTTCTGCATGGCTGTACACTGAAAACAGTCGAGTAGGAATTAGTGTCACTCGTTAAAACATTTAGGCTTATATTAGTGTTTCACACTGGGTACACATAAGCTGGAGTTAGCATGCAAAATGGAAAACAGTCATGTTACACTGGACACATCTAATCTGATTTCTCTGGAAGCTGTGTAACTTTCTTGTTTTGGCAGTAGCAGTGAACACATACAAGAGGAACCTAGATTTTTGGCACCCAGATACTTTTTTTTATTTACCAAGACATTAACACCTTGGTGTGGCCAGACAATTGGAAATCAGAGTTTCTGCAAACCTGGGAATTTTAGTTTTTTTTTGCGTCATATAGTTAAATTAATGAAATACCAATACAACTTTGATAAAGAACTTCAGCAAGGCAACCTTACCCTCCACTGTGAAGGAGTTATACAGCTGAACTGTGATAAGCCATTAAATTACATGCAATGTCAAGAGTATTATCGTTGTGCAAGTAAACAAATTAATCCAAGCATCACTCAATTAATCCAATATTACAGGAACTAAATGATGGGTTCAATAACAATATAAAAAATTTTAAGCTCCAGGGAAACCAACTGATAATAATGCAAAACACAAAACTACACAGACTTCTCCCCTTATTTCTGACTACCATATCAGAATAACAATACAGTATAAGACAATGAAATGGAGAAGAATTCTCACTAAACAAAAGAAAATGAAATACAGGAAATAAATTTTGACCTTAGATATTACTAAAGTACTGTACTGTTCTTAGTAATTTAGGTCTTTATTCTCTAGTACAGTACAGTATTATAGTGCATTTTTTCTCAGCTAAGAAAAATGTCCCGCCCCCTCCTCAACAGTTACAGCTGATTGGCTGTTGCAAACTTGTCCGATTTTGTCCTGAGTAATGATGTATTTCTAAATGAGTTTATTCATAATCGTTGGGATGACCGTTTCTGACGAGAAAGGTATTTAGCTAAATTATATTAAGATACATACCTTCATTATTTCAAACATAAGCACGGAGGAAGTTTATCAGAAACATTATACGTGAATTAACTGATAAACTCGGGTAGCAAATTCACGCTTTCGGAACATACATTTAATATGTATATACTTATTTTTACCTACAATAAGACATACTAAGACAAATTACATATCAGTAATAGTACATTACGCAAAAACAACATTTTAAAAGATAAGAATCACATTGAAATATTACACGACCGTTAGCAGAGGCGGGAAATATATGAAGTAGTTCACAGTCATATTTCCCGCCTCTGCTAACGGTCGTGTAATATTTCAATGTGATTCTGATCTTTTAAAATGTTGTTTTTGCATAATGTACTATTACTGACATGTAATTTGTCTTAGTATGTCTTATTGTAGGTAAAAATAAGCATAGTATATTAAATGCATCCTCCAAAAGCGTGAATTTGCTACCCGAATTTATCAGTTAATTCACGTATAATGTTTCTGATAAACTTCCTACGTGCTCCTGTTTGAAATAATGAAGGTATGTATCTTTATATAATTTAGTTAAATATTTTTCTCTTCAGAAACGGTCATTATGAATAAACTCATTTAGAAATACATCATTGCTCAGGACAAAATCGGACAGGTTTTCAACAGCCAATCAGTTGTAACTCTTGAGGAGGGGGCGGGGCATCTTTTCTCAGTTGGGAAAAAACACGCTATAGTGTTCACTGGAATATATTAGCAATGGCCTATGAACCACAGCAGCTTAGAAAAATAAAAGATAAAAAAATGATGACTTTATTCAACACGTCAGATATCTAGACGGTCCGTCCCTTGTAACGATCTTCAAGAGTGAAGTGCTTCCCCATCTAGAGTACTGTCATCCCGTCTGGTCCCCGAGATATGCTAGGGACTGTCAGTTGGTTGAAAATGTTCAAAGGAGGGCCACCAGACTGGTGCCTGCACTTAGGCACCTCAGCTACCCTGAGAGATTGGAGCTCCTGAACTTGCCTAGCTTATACTACAGACGGGCAAGGGGTGACCTAGCTGAGGTGTATAAGCATCTGAGGGGGCACTACTCAGTCAAGTGTCCTTACTTGGACGGCGGCAACTTTTCGTTAACGCTGACGACGCCATAAATTTTTTGGGCAGGTGACGCTACAGGTGACGCAGTCAACTTATCACCCGAGCGAAGCGTCAAGTGTCAATTTGTTCATCAAATTCTAAAATTTTCGATTTTTAATTACAGTGGTCCCTCGGTTAATGAACGGTTCGGTTAACGAAGTTTCGGTTTACGAATTACCTTCCATAAGAATCTTCATTTCCGTTAACGAACAATAATTTGATTAACGAAATTCTTACGGATATCACGTTTTGTTATGAGCATCAGCTGATGGGCTAGTCTGCCACTTCAGTAATCTGTTCTATGTTTACATTCATTTCCAGTGGAGTAAATATCAAGAAAGTTGTGCTCTTTAATATTTTTGCATTTTTTATATTAAAATTATTAGTTATTTTAACATTTATTTAACATATTGATAATATATGCAGTACAGGGGACTAATTTTTTGTGCGCCCATCAGAAGCTTGACTCAGCCATAAGGAGTCAGTTGGGCTTTATTGATAGTGGAGTGAACATCTATTTTATTGGTGTCTTGAATATTTTTGCATTTTTCATGGAAATTATTGATCATTCTGAAATTTAGTTAACATATATAGTGCAGTGCAGTGTTGATTTAAATAAAATAATCTTGAATTATATCTAGTGAACTTAAAATTTTATTGGTGAAATGACAGCATCAAGCATGGGCCCCCTGAAAGGTGACTTCTCCTCCATCCCCACTTCCTTTTCTTCTCCCTTCTCCTCCACCCCCACTTCTAATTCCCATTATCATCATCAACCAGGAACCTTCTACATACACACCTCAGTAAGTGTACTTTACTGCATTTTTTTTTACTTTGTATGTACTTTTCGGTGAGCTGGAACCAATTACCCAATATCCCATTGAAACAATGGATTCGGTTAACGAAATTTTCGGTTCACGAACGACCCTCTGGAACAAATTGTGTTCGTTAATCGAAGGACCAATGTATCTTATTATAAAGATGACCGGGAGGGAGCAGTGAGGGAGACGACTAAGACCATGACATGGAGGACGAATTGTTCCAGGCCCTGTACGAGACCCCCCCAGGAATGAAAATGAAAGTGACCTTTTCAAGCGTTTCCTGTGGGAGAAACCTTCGACAAGGACACCTTTCCCAACAAGGCAATGAGGGAATTGTTCATCAAATACAACACCCCCATCCCCTCTAGTGGAGCGCATGTTCTCCACGGGCAAGGACGTCTTGAGGCCCAAGCGCAGCAGAATGAGCGACAAGCATTTTCAGATGCTAGTATTTTTGCAGGGGAACAAATGAATAATTAAAATGATGTAAAATAAATCATAATAAATGATTTTGCATATGTTACTCCCATAAACAGGAAAAAAAACGTTTCGGGGCTGAATTTGTACGTCCTTAAAAACTCGTTGACGCTGACGCTAACAGTCAATTTATGAAATCGTTTACGCCGACGCTGACGGCATCAAATTTCTCTGCCGCTCACGCTGGTGGCGCCACGAGTACAACACTGTATAATATAAAACCAGTGAGCCATATCATCTACAGAACTCATAATAGGGAATCTTTTCCGCATAAAATGAGTTATGGGTAGAAATAGGGTCGCCGCATGAACGCGAATTCACATGTAGTGAATGCGCATAAAGCGAGGGTCCAGTGTATCTTTATGCCATGTTCAAGAGGAGTACAGTAAATTACCTATACTACACATGAATTTCAACGCAATCTAGCGAGAAGTTATGGAGAAGTAGGATTTTGAAAATTGATTAAAAATATAAGGGAAAAATCAAGTATTAGGGATTAGGCAGAACCGATTCAGTGGTAGAGCAACAATGTATCTAATGTCTTTAATTGCTGACAGGAAACTGAAATTGATTGATCAATTATTAACAAATTTCGTGCTTCAGCCAGACACTCCCTTTAACCATGCAAGTGAACCGCCCCTCAAGCACGGTAAAATTATCGTCTACTGTACTGTACTGGGGTCCAGTAGTGGGTTTTAGATCAGACTGTTGGTGCCAAGATTACTCTTGTGTGTCCATGCAAAAGTAGGTGAATACATGTACAAGGAATATTTTTACTACCTACCTATAAAAAAATATTGTCATCATTACTCTGTTATTGCTATTTTAATTAATTCAACCACTTCTATAAACTATATCTATTACCAGCAGTCACGAGTTCTAGACGTAATAATAATGTGTTTGTTACCAGTGGCAGACTAACATGGTTAGATTTATGGGGTATTCATATACCCTGGACTGTATAAGGATCAAGTTCAAGCCTAAACCAGACTGGTAAAGTGAAGTCTTACTATACAGCATAGTACTATAAAAACTGTCCTTCACTACAGGACAACAACGAACAAATTACCTCTTTGGTGAACCACACTAAATAATACTGTAATTCCCTCACTGGAACAAACCCCAAAATATTTATGTGATATTTAGTACAGTCAGTTCTGCTATAATGCGATAGTTTTGTTTTTGTAAAACATCGTGTTATAGAAATTCGCGTAATAGAAATAACAGGGCTTATGGAGAAAATAGGGTTAGGTGCAGATTACTACTCGAAATCGAAAAAAATTTAGTAGTTAGCCTAACACAAAGGATAACACAGTCTAAATAAATGTTACATTCATATCGAATAATGAAATCATACAGTAAATGTAACACTTTACCTTGAAAAAATATGAATATAACTTGATGGGGGAGAAGGGTGATTTTGAGGTAGATAACATCGAGCTTCTCTTCAAGGGTTATAGCCTTTCTTTTACGATCATCACTGGGAATGCGATCACCAGAACGCTTCTTGGAGATATTCTTCTTTACCATATTGACAGTTAATACCACAATATTGGAGAAATAGTAAGCAAAAATCGCGTTACAGCAAACAAGTGTTAGCGTTATACAAATATCGTTCCTCTATTCATAGATCGCGTAAGAGCCAATTCGCGTTGTCAAAACACGCGTTATAGCAGAACTCACTGTACAGTAATATCTCCATTAGCTGGAATCCCTGAAACCCAGGACTCTCTAATAGCCAGAATTGAAATTTTCTCAGAAAATCGTTCCCAAAGCCGGATTTTTCCGGAAAATTCTGGCCTGGGGAACGATTTTCCGGAAAATTCAGAGAAAATTTTCCTGATACCGGGAAAATTTTGGAAATGGGGGATATTTTTCCGGGTTCGAGAGATGATGTAACGGGCAATTTCTGGAACTTCCGAGAACATTTCTCCATTACCCAGAAAATTCCAGGGATGAGGGATTTTATCGGGCTTTGAAAGAGTCGTCTCGTTACCCAGAAATCTCTCATTCCCATAAGTGCTCTGCGCCAATTGTTCTGGCTAATGGAGATATTACTGTACCTCCAAAACTTTAGTTAGTAGCTAGATAGCAGATTACTTTTGTCTTCTTATTAATATGAGAACAGGCCATCAAATAGAGAGTAGTAACTGTTTCATAAATTTAACAAACTTAAAAGAAAATGATCAATAAAGAAAGGTAAAGCCACACAGAAGAAATGAGCAGAAAATGTCAGTTTATCTTACTTGATGTTGGAGAGCTTGAACTTGGCTCTGTAGTTCATACACTTGTGTTTCAAAGCCTCGGAGACGATCTACTTCAGCTTCAGCATCCTCCAAGCGATCTGCATTTGGTGAAGATTTTGTCAGCTTCTCAAGTTGTTCCTCTAATTCACTTATTCGACTAATCTGCTGTTGCAGATTATGGTTTTCTTCCTTCAATTGCTGATGAGATGTTTCAACCTTACACAATTTGCTTTGTAGTTCCAAGATCTCTTGTTCGTGCTGCTGCACTTTACTTTCATCAACAATATCAGCACTAGATAGTGTCGGATCATCTGCTGTGATGTCAGTCTCCTGTTGCACACTCTGCTGATAATCTTGCAGTTGCTGTGTCAGATAAGTCACCTTTTGCTCAGCTTCTTGGAAGCTAGTCTGTAGTTCTGTATAGTAGCCCGTCCAAGTTGCCCACTGTTCCTCATACCAGGAGAGTTTGTATTTCAAGTCTTCAACATTAACTGCCTCCTCTGACTGTTCCTGCTGTTTCTGTGCATTTTGTATCTGTTGTTCTGCCACCATTTTTTCAATGGGTTGTACTGACTGTGTAGAGATTTCAGATTCTTGTTGGTGCTGCTCATCAAACCAACTAGATGGATCTTGTTCATTATCTGCTGGAGTTTTTTGCAAGAAAGAGAAAGAATCATTGCCTTCTGGTTGGCTCCACTGGATATTTGGCATAGTAGTTGTTACAAGTGCTGTACCCTGATCAGTAGTTGGTGTACCTCCTGTTAACTGATTTACTACTGGTGTAGCTTGTGCCAGTTCTTCAGGTTGTGTTGTAGTTGTTGCTTCTTGATCAGACACATGGTAACCTCTTGCTGGATGCTCAACTGATGACCACACATTAGTTGTCTGTTCACCTACTGACCAAACTCCAGGTGTTTGTTCCTGAACTGGCCAATAACCAGATACTTCAGAATGCTGTAGTTGTTCATGTACACTCTCATGTTGTGCAAAAGTTGGAGGGATCACCTGCTGCTGAAGCAGCTCAATGTCATTTTGTCTCTCTCTAAGTTTTTCTTCGAGGATGGCTATTTTTTGCCTCTCTTGCTCTAGAGTACTCTGTATGGAAGCTAAGTCCTCCAATCTCTTCTTTAATATATGTAACTCTTCTCGATCTTGTTCCCACTGTTGCTTTTGCTGAACAGAATTGACTTCTGTACTCTTTCTCTGCTGTTCTAAGACTTTTTTCTCTTCAGTAATTGTATTAATCTGTTGGAGAGCTTCTTTAAGCTGATCCTGTATCATCATCAACAATTCATCTTTATCTGCTAAAGATTTCTGAAGACTATTTACCAAAGAGTTTTCCAAGTTTGGCATTTCCTTTGGCTCTGGTGTTCCAAGATCTACCTCTCCCCAGTCATCCCAACCTGATGATGATGTTGCAGTGTTCTGAGACTGTGTGGCAAGAGTTGTCTGAAGCTGTGTGATTGTTTGCCGTGCCTCTTGTAATTGCTGCTTTACGGTGTTGGCATCAGTACGAAGACCATCACACTCCTCTTCCAAAAACTGGGTTTGGTGTTCTGCTGCTGCAAGTTCTTCTCTCAAACTTAGTAGCTCAGCCTCTGTCGTTTGTCTGTGTTCTTCCATGGTACCAAGCACTCCAGATTGGCAAGCATCAACCCTATTATCTATCCTTGCCTCAAGTCCTTCCAAATTCACAAATAAATTTTCACCTTCAGGTACTCTATTCTTATGTTCCAAAACACTTTCTTTTAAGCTCTTAATTTCTTCATCATTTTCTTTAATTTGTGAATTAAAGCTTTCAATACTGGCATTCAGTTGGGAAATAGTTTCAACTTGATTCTGTAGTAACAGTGAGTTTTTATCAAATTCTGTTTGCAACTGGTCCCTTGCCTGACTTACAGACAGGAGTTCACTTTCTAGACGAGTAATGTTTTGCTGTTGTGAGAGTGAAAGAGCAGCAACTTCACTTTCACTTTTTTGTTGAAGAGAGAGAGCCTGAGTCAATTCCATTTGGAGTGAATCGGCTCTCTGCTGATGTTGCTCTTGGGAGGAGATAGCTTGAGTCAGTTCTGTTTGTAATGACTCTGCTCTTTGCTGTTGTTCTTCTAAGGCATGTTGTAGTTTTTCAAGTGCATTCTTTCTGGAGGCAATCTCTTCTTTAGTGCCAATGAGGTCATTTGTTGCAGAATCTCGATTTAATTTTGCATTTTCTAACTCATTCTGTAACTCCGTAGCCCATTCCTGTATTTTTGACGAACCAACTTCCAAGTTTTCTGCATATTCTTTACTTGCCTGTAGTTCCATTTCCAATCTGGTAACCTCTGACTTGAGTTCCTGGAGTTCTGTTCTGACTGTCTCCATCTCCTTTGTACTACTTTCCTGTTGGCAGACTATTTGTGTCTCCATCTTCTCAAGGTTCATTGCTTTCAATTGCAACTGTTCTTCAAACTGAGATGCCAATGTGGTGACGTTTTTGTACTGAGACTGAGTGTCTTGGAGCTGCGTTTCAGCTACACAAAGTTCTTCTCTGAATTTGTCCAACTGTTCTTGTGCTAGTGATAGTTGAATTTGAGTTTCATTCAGCTGGTCCTGTGTTTGTCTGAGTTCATTTTCATTTTGGGCAAATTGCTCTTGAAGTTCAACTAATTGATTATGGGTGTGAGAAATTTGTTCTTGAGCATAAACAAGCTGTTCCTGGTTCTGAGTTAGCTGGGTATGTAAGTCCCTCACTACAGCATCCTTCTCCTCAGTTTGCAACTGAATACATTCTAGCTGCTGTGTAACTTCATCAAGACACTTATTCTTTTCTAAGGCTTCTGTCTGCCATTTCTCTGCTTCTGAAGCCTTACTCTCCATTTCATTTTTGAGGTTTCCAATTGTTGTTTCCACTGCACTTACATACTGTTCCTTCTCAACAAGTGTACATTTAAGTATTTCAATATCCTGATTTTGCTGGTCAGATCTTAAAGTCATTTCTGAATTTAAATGCAGTATATTCTCTTCTTTTTCATGAACTAATGATTGGACCTCACACAAATTGTCTTCCAAACTGGTCTTCATTGTAGTCAGTTCAAAATTTTCTTTTAGTAACTGATTTATTTTTTGTTTCAATGTAGATTGTTGTGAATTAAGGCTTTCTACACATGATGTCTTTTCTTCTAACTCTGCCTGAAACTTCAATATGGAAGCTTCTTTTTCTGTCAGTAAGGAACCAAGGGAGGCAAATTTTGCTTCTAATTGTTTAATATCACCTTGTTGTTCATCTAATAATAAATTCTTAACACAGACTTCCTGCTCATATTTTGAAATCATTGTCTGATTATTTTGAATTTCCTTAACTTTAACCAGAATATCCTCCTGAGATGCTTCCACTTGATTTTTTGAGTCATTTAGCATGGCTGAGAGTATATTTAACTCAGACTCATACGACACTTTTGTGGTTTCTAATTGCTGTGAAATGTTCCTAAGGTCATTATTCAATTTATCAACCACTAAACTCTTTGTTGAAAGTTGTTCCTCTTTCTGCACTAATGAGGCATGACATTCTTCAATCTTGTGGTCCCGAATGCTTAGTTGAGACTCCAACTCTACAAGCATATTAATATGATCGTCTATGGTCTTTTCCTTCCGTTTGATCTGGTCCTGTAACATTGAAACCTCTCCAACCAGATTTTGGATGGTTATATTTTTTTCATTTATGGTCCTATTCAGACTTTCAATGGTTTCATTTGCTAAGGCCAATTCATTTTCTTGGGAGTGAAAATCTGTTGAGGCACGTGACAGTTTAGCTTCCAAATCTTCTATAGTTTTGGATGCCTCATAAATCTTTCCAGACTCTTGCTGGAGCTTGTGCATCAAGTCTTCAAATTCCACTTTATTCTTCGCTATTGTTTCATTTGCTACCTTTAACCTGTTGTCAACATCTGCCACAACAATATCATATTTATCAATCTTTATAGACAGAGTGGCAACTGTATTTTCTTTATCAGTTAGGATATTCATAAGGCGCTTACATTCTCTGACTTTTAATTCTTTTTCTTCTAGGGCTGCTTTTGTTTTCTCTTCACATTCCTGCACAGTTGTTACCTGATTTGAATATTTTTCCACCCACTCATCCCTCTCCTTTATTCTACTCTGTAAAGACTCTTCTAAAATACCTTTCTCTTCTATTAATTGTTCTAATGGTGCTTGCCCTGATTCTGACATTTGATTTTCCAGTTCTATTCTTCCCTTCTCTGCAATGTCTCTCTGTTCCTCTACCTCACAAAGTCGAAGCTCAAGAGTAACTTTTGCCTGATTGGCTTCTGCGAGACTTGTCCTAACACTATTCAGCTCTGACTCAAGATCAAATATTTGATTTTCACGTTCATTGGTGCCTTCAACCAACTTGATTTTCTCTGTCTCAAGAAGGGTGATAGCACTCAGTTGAGAGTCTAAATCACTGTTAAGCTGCTTCACTTGATCCTCAAGTTTATTTCTAAGAACTGTCAATTTTTCATTTGCAGTTCTCAGGTCATCAAAGTCAACCAACTTCAACTGTAGGTTCCCCTTTTCCTCTTCCAATTCTGCTATTGAATTTTGTAACAGTAAAATTTGCTCTCCAGCATTACCATCTCCCTTTATATTTCTCAATTGCTTTTCTAGTGCTTTGAATTTTCTCTGTCCATGAGCCTCTGCTTTAACAAGTTTTTGCTTGAGTTCTTGAAGAAGGGAATCTTTCTCCTCAGAAGCTTTTCTATCCACTTCTGATTGATTTCTTAATGATTTAATATCAGATTGAAGTGTGACAATTTTTTCCTGCAGCTCTGCATTTCGAGTGCTGAGCTCAAAACGAAGGTTTTCTAAACGACGTCCATTTTCTTCAAGCTGAGTTACCTTCTTAACCTTTTCTTTTAATTCCTTTGCCAAGGAATCTTTCTCAGATACAAACTCCTGCTCCTTTGCAATAAAGTTTTCCTGCATTTTTTTCATTTGATATCTGACTTCCTCTAATTCTTCCAAGGTCTTTAGACTCTTTTCATCCTGAGCCTTTGCAATCAGTGATACTGCTTCAGTTCTAGCTTCAATCACTCGATCTTTTTCACTTAGGGATTCCCGTTGCTCTTGAATTATTCCTTCTAATCTGTCATTTTTTTGTGTCAACTCTAAAATAGTATTGTCTTTGTATACAATTTGCTGATACAGTTTCTGTGTAATTGATTCATCGGACATCGCTCCTTTACCCTCTTGCAACGACTGAATTACATTATCTCGTTGTTCAACTTCGGTTCGTAGTCGATCGATTCTTGATTTCATTTCCTCCATGGATGCTCGTTTCTCAGCATTCTCTTTCTGCTGACGCTCAAACTTAATTCGATTCTCTTCCAGCTGCTTTCTCAGAAGTAATATCTTAGCCCTACTACCACTCTCAGAGGAAGGTAGTTTTTTCTCCTCCACCAGCCTCCCTCCAGCAGCACCATGAACTCCAGTTTCACCACTAACTCCTGATTCACTGACAGTTATAGAGTCCTCAGAAGACCCAAGTGGCTCTATTCTTTCTGGAAGCACCGACTTCTTCTTAGCACCCACCTTTCCCAAACGAGGTTTCATTCTAGCCAACCGAGCAGCATAGTCCTGTTAAAAGATAAAAATTTATAAATGTTAGTTTTGTAAATGATACCTATAATTTCAGTTCATTAAATGCAACATCAAATCTACAAATAATGAAAGCCAAGTGTTGTAACTGTGATAGCAGTTTGTTATCACCCCCAATTAGTATAAACAAGTTCCAGCAATTTTAAGTGGCAGGGCTTGAGATAAACACTGCTGAGTGTTTTGCATTTTTATTATGTATATTCACACTTTGTAATGTACTCAACGTAATTTAACCAATTTCTTACATAAAAAGTTCACGTAAATGAATGTAAGTAGCAAGGTGCAGCACACTAATATGATAAGTATGAAGGCAGAACACAGACTGAGGCTCGTGCCGCATGACACCCACGACAAACATTCAATCACATGTATGAACACACAAGCCCTCCAGACTGATGCCGAGAAAAGCAAAATCTGGTGTAGACGTTCTACTGTACTATATATGAACAATACTATGACATCTTTGCTGTTTTCTTGGCTATTTTCAGTCTTCTTTTAACGGTTAACCAAGAATATAAACATTCCAAGTTAGCCTGTCTAATTGCTACAAATGCATAAAGGAAACAAAGGAGCACATCCATCAGCGGTAGGATAAAATAACATGAATTAATGGAGCGGACAAAAACAAAGCAGCTTATTCCAGCAGGTGGCATGTGCAGCGATGAACCATGTCTTTTTTTTATTAAATAACAACCAATTCAACAAAGCCATATTCAAGCACGGGAATACGAATTGTACTGAATAAATAGAATGTAATACAGTGAGGTATGCTATAACGAATGGATTCTACTACGAATATTCCTATAACGAACGGTTTTACCTATAAAACTGAGAATGCTATAACGAACGAAACTCCTACAACGATTTTTTTTTACTAATTTATTGGTTTTTTTATTACAAGTATTAATGATATTGTTTATTTCAGGGGTTTAGATGCATATTTATGCACTTTTTTACAATTTTTACAATTTTATATTATATTTTTCAGTGTTAAGTGGTTGTATTTGGGGGCCTGGAACGGATTAATCCTATAACAAACAAATGTTATAACGAACAAGGTTCTAGAACCAATTAGATTCGTTATAGCATACCCCACTGTACAGGCACACCCCATTATTCATAGCCTCGGTATTCGTAACCCTGTTTATCTGCAATCAATTTATTGTTACCCATTTCCACCATTCGCAATGGTTGCCCCATTTATTCGCAAATTCTTACGAGCAAAAATTTTGAACCGCACGCCTCAACCATAGCATAGGACAGTGTGTGTACGTATTCCTCCGCCATGCGCTCCCGCTCGCCTCAGTCTCACGTGCTGGTGTGTGTTTTGTGTGATCTCGCAGTTGTGTTTTGAATGATTTCGCAATGCCTAAGCGACCAGCTACTAAAAATCCCAGAAATGTTGCTAAGAGATCACGTGTGGCAGTTACGTTGGACGTGAAATTGGATATCATAAAAAGACATGAACATGGAGAAGGAATGTCGGTGATTGGGCGCATGCACGGCTTAGCTCCCTCTACGGTGCATTCTATAATATAAAAGCGCCGACAAGATCAAGGAGATGGCCGGGTCTGCAACACCACCGACAGCTACGAAGGTGACGAGGTTCCGTGATGTCTACGTTTAAAACTTACCTCACACACCAATGCATATAAACATTCAAACACACACACACTCAAACATGAAAAGTACCCCTGTATACTGTACTTGTAAACATATACGCCTCATAAACTCAAAGTGTTTGTTATTGATGTTTATTTGATATTATGCCCTTGTTTCTTTATCTATTTTATGTTCTATATGTATTGAGTAAAACAAGTGTTAAAATCTGACGGCCGTGACCACTACGATGCCCGTATCCCCCCTATTTATATTAATTCTTATGGGAGAAATTGCTCGGCTATTCGCAATTTCGATATTCGCAATGAGTTTCATGCCCGTAACCTTTGCGATAAGTGAGGCAGCCCTGTACTCACCAGCGAAGCCAGAAATTTTATTTGTGACAAGACATTGTGTTAGGTGATGTTTGTTTATTTCATAACTTTTCTTTTGTGTCATCGAACTAATTTACAGTATTCTCATCCCTTTATCTATGTTTATATTATAATAAATATTTTGATGGCATAAAAAAAGTACAATAGTGTACTCCAAACACAGAATATAATATTAATCCAAAATTTTCAAATACAGGGGGGCCCCCCCAAATTCGTGCGGGTTAGGTTCTCAAAATGGCCGCGAATCGCCAAATCCGTGAATAACATTTGCAGTCCGTGTGTGTGTGTGCGTGTGTTACATCTTTACTTGTGTACAAAGAAATGTATATTCCCTTTATGCATTTGCCCTTAGGACAATTATTAATAAAGTAATAAAGCATGGACTTGAGGGTAGACTGTCACATTTTTAAAAAAAAAATTCTGGTTACAGTACTTGTGAGAGTATTTTCCCATTACAGTATTATTTATTTGTAAGTGTTTTGTTAGTGTCCCAGCAGCGAAAATGCAGGCAACTTTAAAACTACATCCAGGGCGTCATCCGCGAATAATAGAGGACCGCGAAATAAAAATCCGCGAACTTGAGGGCCCCCTGTATATATACAGTACAGACAGTCCCTGAGTTACAAATGGGTTACATTCCTGGACCCTGTTCATAAGTCAGAGCAGTGTTCATTCCATAGATTAGGTTAAAACACAACCCTGCCCATACAAAACAATATTAATATCCCATACATAACAAATATGGTAAATACAGATATCCCTTACTATACAAACGTTTGAGATGCAACAATTAGCGTATATGAATTTCAGGGTTGTTTGGTTTATATAAAGTGATTTAAATCATGATGTAAATAAAAATATTAAAAAAAAATCATTGATCTAAATCACAATTTGATTTTAACACGTAAATGTAAAGGGGAGGAAGAAAAATATAAACATAACTGCTTAAATAGCCGACTGTACTGTTAATGAGACAGAAAAAAATGCTCTTATTACAGATGTGTATATAATTAAACACAAGGAATTTCCACTTTTGCTATTTTCATTATTCAGTGCTCTCACAACAAAAACTACAACATTTGCTTTAGAACTGAAACAACAAACAAATTTCAGGTGAGTATCATCACATTTCTTATCTTAACCTACATGTTCTCTTGTATTATGCTTATGCTTCACACAAGTAGGAGTTGTAGGTAAATATTAAAGGCACTGATAACTTGTTTCTAATTTACAAAAAGAAAAATTGAGCAAAACCAAAGGAATCGCAATACTTTTGGATACAACATGACATTTACCGTAAATTGTGGCGTATAAGTCGACCTCAAGATTTTTAGTTCAAAATTCAGGTTTAGTTCTATACTCGCCGTATAAGTCGACCCCCAAGGCCCAAACATAGGCGAAAGTGTGTAATAAGGCCACGCCACTTTCATCAAGATACTTACCGTAAAACCTTTCAATAATTGATAAATATATGTTATATAGTTCATACAAAAAGGGAAGTGGGCAACAGGATCTACATAGGACAGCAAGCAACCGCTAAAAATCTTCAGTAATTTATCTTCGTAAGAACTCTGGTAAACACCAAGCCAAAATCAGCACCTCCAATAAAATAGTAATTGTTTACACAGCATACCAGTATAGCACCTTGATAGTAAAATCTATAAACGGAATGATAGTAGAACATTATGTTACACCTGGTTTACGATCTGCCATTTGCATCAACTGTTGTAAACAAACTGCCAGTGACGCCACCAACACCAAGCGGCCAGCTGCGAAATTATGAGTCCGTTACACTGTCAGCAGCACAGCAGCACCGCTTACACTTAAACTGTCATCCGCTGCAGCACTGTTGTTTGAAGAGTTTGCAAATGCAACAACTTTCAGCTTGAAACTTGCATCATATTTCATCCTTTTTGCTGGGGGGGAAGCCATGGGGATAAGATATTTTCAACTGTTGTCAGGTTGGTGTGTGGGTAATGAGTGCATGCCAGCAAGAGCATAAAACCACAGTGGTTTTGTAAATTGCCATGTAGGCTTGTTCAGTGTTTGCAATACATCCCCGGAATTTTCTGGGTGCCGGAATATTTTTCCCAGAATTTCCGGAAAATGTGCCTGATTTAAATCTCTCAAACCAGGTAAAAAAAAACCCTCCCCGGAATTTTCCGGAAAATTACGGCTTTGGGAACGATTTTTCGAGAAAATTTCAATTCCGGCTATCGGAGAGTTCCGGGTTTGAGGGATTCTGGCTAACGGAAATGCAGCACCAAATGTTCTGGCTAACAGGGATATTACCTAATTATATTTGATAATAAGTGATGAATAATATATTGTACCTATTGAAGCTTGATGTTTTAATGCTGTACCTGTAGATGTAGCCATAGCAAGTACAAAACAGATGCCATCAAAATGTAAAAACAAAGTTAACTTGTAGTTACTGTGTGATATAATTTGAGAGTTTTACAGCTATAACTTCATGAAACCCTAACCAAAAATGAATAAAAAATTCCACTTTAGTGATAATTGTTCCCAAGGGAAGAAAAACCACAGGGGAAATGTTACTCTAAGGTGTTTTAAGATCCTGTATAAGGCAGAGTAAAATTCAATAGTACTGATGCAATGGCATGGCTCTTTCATTTTTTTTTTAAGATATTCCCTGGTAAGTTATGGTGCATCTTCCATGTAGGTACACCTAATATGCTGTGAAATATGATACTGTATCCCCCCTCGCCCCAGGGGATAACAGAGCAACAAATGGGTAAAAGGTGCCTTATATTTGAAATTTTCTACGAGAGTACATAATAACAAATTAACGTTATTTAGGCCAGTACAGTGCAGTACCGTAAATGTGAAAATTCTAGTACAGGGTAGTGTGAAAACCATAAACCAAGATGGCTGAATAGATAACAAAATACAGCCTGTAATTAAAATCAGGTGAAATTCCCGTGGGCTCAATTACTGTATTCTGAAATTATAAGAAACACCAAAGATTATTACCAACTATGGGCTTACCTCAACTTCTTTTCCCCTAGAATCAAGTACGGATTCTTTTTTCTTGAGCATATCTTTGAGGTGTCCTATTAAGGCTTGCTGCTGGTCAAATTGATCCTGCCAAATGAGAAGCCAATTAGTGTACTGTAGTGTCAAATATCACCCAATGATCCTTATAAAAAATTTAGTACAGTACCTACGTCATAATTGGTCTTTTGGATCTTTCCATTCCTGGACTCTCGGTATCCCTTCACTGTCATGTCAAGTGTAACTGCTCCATGGTATATACACTTACACAGACTCAGTGTCACAAAAATTTTAGGAAAGGTAAACAAAAAAATATATTATTTGTTTTTGTGAGGCAGAAATTTCAATCTTTCCTATGATTCCCACACAAATGGCACAGAATACTTCAGATATAGTTATGAGCTAATATAGTAAAAAAAAACTCTCTATATAAGTAGAATGAGGACTTGTGTGATTACAGTCAGAATGCAGGTATACAATTTTTCCAATCACTCAAGATCCATGTACAGTACAGGTATTTTCTTTAATGATTTACAAAAAAAAAAATTATTATTCAATTGTCTTATCCCTGTAAATAATATCAACAAGATAAGTTTATTAATAAAGTGTCACATCTTTTTGATGACTTGCATGACTGAAGAGAGATAGAATATATAAATATGGTTTTAAAATACTTTAATACCCTCAATTTAACAAAATAATTATACTCCCAGGGATGTATGTTATGTTTGGAAAGCTCAAGATCTCTGGAACTTTGTGAAGTGCTAAAGGTAGAAGAATTAGGTAAAATAGCACATACAGAATCAAAACTTCTTGTAAATTAAGTGAGGCAGTAAATTCTTGAGTTCGCAAGCTATCTGTGACCTTGAGGTAAATACAGTACACTAACCATTTGAATTAGCACAAGTGATGTGGAATAGATAATCACCTTGTCAATTCTATGGTAAATGTGGGTGGAATCTTACCCATGACCTGTTGGTGTTACGAAAAGCCACCAAGCTGATAAATACACTGAAAGAGTTCACCTGACTCAAACCCCTCATTCATAAACTTTGGACTTGCACTTAGGGTGTGCATAAAATAAAGCAAAAAAATTGAATGCACACATTTACAGTTGGTGCTAATTATCAAAATAGAACTTCCAGCAAATTTTCATTAAGTTTGATAAACATTAAAGAGGTGCTCAAGAGATCTGAAGTTCTCTTCCTCTGCAGCACAACAGTGTTACACACAAAAAACATATTGAACACACCAAAATGGTGTTGTTTAAATGCTCAAATATATTTTGTAGACTAAATAAACAGCTAATTCAAATTTATTAACATTAAACAGTTGCTCAAGAGATGGGAAGTTCTCCTCCTTGGGAGCAAAATAGAGTTACACAGAAACTTACTGAACACACTGACCAATACCTCAACTCAAAAGATCTTTGTATATTATACTCATACATATTACACAAACTAAATATAGAGTTAATTACAGGTTACCATTAGCTTAGACTCTGCCAAAGCACTTAATAACAACCAAGAAGATGCCTTTGGTAGGGATAGGTTAATGTATGCATTGTTGTTCCACGACATGAAGAAGATACTGCTTCTGTTCCTCATCCTGTGTCAGTGCACTACTGAATTTCTGAATGAGAGCTACACCACATTCAGCAAGGTCATTAACAACCATTAAGTTCTGAACAATTCCCTAGGCAGTAGAGTAAGTTGTTGCGCCTAACCAATTTCCAGGATCCTCGGCTAGCATGGGTGTGTTCCCTGTTGGATTCTGCACAGAAAATATTAAGAGCCAGGCTTCTCTTTGAAGTTGTTGACCTTCTCCCTTTTAATGCTTATCAGAGACTCCAGAGTCAAATATAGCCAAAGCAACATTCACCTTGTTAAGGTACCATAAGTGGTGGCTGAATAATGTAGAAAGGGCATCAGACAAAGTCAGTGGACTCGGCTGTTGCAGCTCTGTGAGGAACTTTAGGTCATTGGCAAGGGCTGTTGTTGAGAGTGGGCTTTGAATCATGTTTTAAGGTACACTCTAACAATGATGATGTTAAAATGGAACAAATTCTGCCATGTAACAGTTGATGCCCTTGAATGGAGGTAAAACTGGTTTCTGAAAAGCCACATTTTCAGAGTACAAATTGCACATGACATCCATCTTGCCCTGTGAATGTTTCCAGGAGGAACACCACCCAAGAACAAAATGGCGAGCTCAAGAAATTCACGATAGTCATCTCGGGATAGTTGCTCCTGAAGCATGCCTTTGGTGAATTCAATGACATCAACCCTGAAAGAAGAATTGAACATTGCTCATCACCTGCAGCTGACTGGTAATTATCTTTGACAATGTAGGACCCGAAGTTTCTGAATCGATCAGACAGCTTAATGTTTGGGGTCTTTGGATTATCCTTCAGAAGTGTCTTGTAAACTTTGGACAGTACGAGTATAAAAATATCGTGTAGATAAGGTAGGAAAAGCACATCTTTCTCGAGATGCTCATCTTCATGTCAAAAGACAAGCCTTTAATTTGATCCAGGGGACTTCACTTCTTAACTGACTCCCATACAAATTTAGCCATAGCTTGTCCTGTGGAGTGTGGGAGCTGTGGAACTGCCAAGAGTTTCTAGACTCCCTTCCAAGAAACGGCAATTGGAAGACAATCAACCTTATACGGTTTTCATCAGTGAGGTCAGGCATCATTTCCCCCCCCCCTCTCCAGGAGAACAAGTGGGACATCAGCACAAAAAACTTCTGATTTCACTTGCAGCCATCTAACGGTGCTTTTTACCTGATGAATCACTCAGGGGCTAAAGCTGAGGTCTCATACGTCCTGTTTAAGTTTCCTAGCCAGACTGGCATCACGGTATAGCAGCAATCCAAAGAAGCCTGCAGTGGGAGGTGGGTGGTGTGAGGCAGCTGGGCTGCCAGACATACAATGCATATTTCTAAACTTTATTTATGCTTTCTGGGTCATTTGACAAGTGATCTGCAAGATCCAAACTGGTTAAGAAAGAGGTGGAAGTGATTATGTTTCATGGAATCATATCAAAAGCATTTCAGTAGGAAGGACCCACTTCAATTATTAAGAAGGATAATACTTGGTACTTCTGGTGCCACAGTCTGATGTTAGATTCATCCATAAGAGAGCCAAACACACCATTTGATATAGACAGACTATCCCAGGACATGCCTAGATAAGCAAGAGTTTAAGTAGCCCAGTTAAGATATGTGACACAAGTAGTAAACTGAAATTAAACCTCTCCAATTCAAGGAAAAACATATCGTACATGTGTTCTCTTTGCAATACCCAAACTACTAGAGAATGCTGAGAGAGTCTCCAATTACAGGACATAAAAACTTAGAGCTTTTTCTAAGGTATGAGCTGATAAAAAAAAGTTAGGAAAAATCATACAGAGAAAGTTCCCTTAACACATTTTAAGTACATGGGCCAAAAGCATTACATCACACTGAAAGTTATGGCCAAGGAAATATGAGAGAATCTGTTAAATGTGAATAAAACCTTCTACCCTTTTATTCCTTTATACATATAATATACAATAAATGTAGAATATGAAAAATATCCTGAAATATTATTTTGATTTTATAGGTTACCCACATTGCACTATTAATAAAATCTGATTAACATACACCATTCTGGAAAATGGCTTAGCACTGTGCCAGCCCGTATGGAATCTTATAAAATAATGTAGAAAATACATAAACATTAATAATTTAATGGTGATTACAGCAAGAAAAAAGGATACTAATGTCACTCCAATCTGTCAGTATGAGCATTGAATTTACAGCCAAATTTGACTGCTTTCCTGCTCAGTATATGTTGTACACATTAAAGCATAATACCTAAATCAGAGAGGCAATTCAAATATATACAATACATTCCTGGCTTGAAAGATTACAAAAAACTTCAATAGAAGTTATAAAACAAATATTTCCAGAGGGAAGCCAGCCTAATATGGCTGTTAGATCTACACTCAAATGCAATCAGCAAACTACAGTTTTCAGGTGAGGACCATCAAATGGCTGAAGAGGACACCTAAAATTTATCATCTACCAAGATCATCCAAAAACCATTGAAAAATTAAAGCAAAATATCACATCTGAATGCAACAAGCCAAGTTAAAAGACTTAAAGCATGTTAGAAATAGATTGTGAAACCTTTGAAAATTTAGTGTTGTAATATATTTTCTCCATGGAACACAACTTAGAAGATAACCTGTCCAATGAGAATTACTGTATGTATGTGGGTCAAAGCCTTTGACTGAAATTGCATCCCTGATGATAAGAGAGTTGCCAAACAGTTATTTAAAAAAGTCATAAGTCAGGGACACTATTCACTGGGCAAATAATTGCAAATGTATATCAATCATTCAAGGACCCATATTACCTTAGGTTCACTCAGTGATCCTAATTAAACTAGAGGTGATAATTCCTTGTTTTAGATTACCCAAGTTTTACTTGCCATAATAAAGTTACAAACACCTGTATATATTATTCTGACAAAAGATCTGACAAAATTATGTAAAGAATTAAACTAGCCTTGACTGAGTTTAAGTACATTCAAAGTAACCTAGAGCTAGGGATGAATAATCTGAGTTTCTTACCACGGGATGACAGACTCCATCATCAATTAAAGTTTTCAATAAAACTGAAAAGCTAAGTTGATGTGCAAAATCTTAAGTACGAACAATTGGGAAATGTCCATCCTGCAACTGCTACGCCAACAAGCACCCAAAAGTGTCACATGGAAATAAAAACATTAGTATTTGCACAATGATTCAACAGCCTGATACAGTATATCAACTATAAATATCGCTCACCTCACAAACAGAACACATTAGTAAACAAAGGAATACTTTCTAAAAACCAACACTGCTAATATATAAAGAAAGCAAAATATTATTTCACCTTTGGGTGCTCATAAGGATCACCAGATAATACAAGCAACTGGCACTGGCAGTATACCAGAGGCAGAGGAAATGTAAGGCTTGAAGTGCGAATCTCAAGTTTATGACAGAGGGGTTTGTAAAAATCAAACTACTGTAAGTCGTTCAAGATTCTTCCCAGTGTACCTGCTGACTCATTGGCTTTTCAAAGCTCTTTCAGGTTGTGGATGAGATTCCACTATTCCTAACCAGTGATTCAAATGGGCAAGCAGCTACAATGCAGCAATTGTACAGAATTGGATGGACACTTGGGCAGTGTACCTGCCTCAAGGTACAGAGATTTTCGACTTAAGTTCCATCAGGAGCATTCTGGCAAGTGATTTTGAAGGTCACCAGTTGAACGACCATCAAACCATGAATCCCCATGTAAATTTTCTCGGATCATCATATCTACGTTTGTTTTGACTGTCCTAGTGATGATGATCCTGATAAAGTTATCTTGGTATCCACCAGATAAGAATATGCAATTAAAAATACACATACTAATACAGTACCACTTTTCAATACATTTCATCACAAAAGAAGTCTCGATTAAGTCTGCCTACATCTCATATTCATAGAACTACTTCATAAATTATAATATATTTCATGATTACGATAAGGAGAAATAGCAAGATAAATGTGTAAGAGAAATAAGAAAAATCTAGTCAAATTCTAAAAACATTCAAGTAGAGAAATCAAGCATACTGTATTAACAGTAACAAAACAGCCCATACCTGCAGATCTCCCAACTCTTGCTTTACTAACACAACTTCTTCTGGACTGGTATCACCTTGCTCTGCTGGGGGGTCTGGAGGAGGAGACCCCCCTTGATCTCCCTCGGACCAACCCCTCCACATTCTTACACTGTTGAGGACATGCTAGTTTTAGGAAGGTCATCAGGGTGTGATAGATACTTTAGAATTATAAACAGCACAGGTTGAGTCATCTGGGTAAAATAAGAAATATTAACTACAGTACAGTATATAAAAAAAGAGGGATGTGAATGTAATGTCCCAATAATACACTAACATATTTAAACCAAGTACTGGTAGCTACTGTATAAACTTACAAAAATAGTGTATAGTGTTCCTGTGATGCATCAACATATTGTATACAGTATAAAGATAAATACAGTATAGAGGAAGACCATGAACCAACCAAAACTATTTTTACAAATATTCATTAATCATTAGGTTAGACTGGAAGGTTTGATTAATTGGCTTTATTGTTGTCATTCATAGGCTAGACTCACAGATAACCTGAGTTATCTTTATTTACAACACAGTCACTGTTACATATTTTCAAAAGTTTATTTCAGTTTTCCTTCTCTCCCACTGTAATTGCATTTTATAAATCAAATTACATCAGACTGAGAGATTCAACCAAAAATGCTTGGTGCTGTAGTTTAGTTGTGCAAGAAAAGTAAACTAAATAGCCATTATCAATTATCTACATGATAATTTCATAATTAACTTGTGTATTTACCTGTATTTATCTCCGTTAAGCTTACAATTAATGCACAGTACCACTGCTACCCATGAAATGGCTTTCTGGTGTACCAATTTTTAGAACTTCTATCTGTGGGGTATTAAAACTTTTTACATTCCTGGAAATAAATTTAGCAACCTTTCTTAATCTAGATTCAAAATACAGGTCTCTAGGTCCCATAAAACTATATTGTATATACAGTACAGTATAGCTATACGTACTGTATATATGCTGTAGAGTAAGTAAAACTTCAAGAAATTTACCATAACCAAGAAGAGCATGATTCAAAGTGTACCATTCTAGACATGTTTCACATTTACAGTTTGCAAAAAAAAAAAAATAAATAAATAAATAAATTACTGTAATGCTTTGGTGATTAATCCAACAGGGTTATACAGAACAGTACTGAAACTCATGATAATATAAGTGCAACAAACCATTCTTAACTATACAAGAAGGTTCTTATCATATACTACAAGTAAAAGGACCTGTTCAACACAGATGGCAGATGCTGGCCAAAAGGAATGACTACCAATTTGTAGAAACTGGAGTAAAAATTATCATGATTGACAGGAGTCAGTGAAGTTCTGGCAGATATGACTAATGATAAAGACAATAATTAGGTTCTTGCTTAACCCTTTCACTGCATCATGAAAATTCAAGGTTGGTTCCCAATAAATGTCATATTTCCACACAAAAATTGTGTGTTCCGAAGAACTTTTTAATATTTTTTCTAAAAAGAATAGAACATTATCTTTTATTATAAAATACTGCACCTGTAATGTGAAAATTTTCATATTTTATAAATGTGGAGATATGAAAGTACTATACAGTACTGTATATTGACCCAAGAAACTAAAATATATAATTCTTGCACTGTAACATTATGTAATCAATTAAATCATATTACAAGTACAGTACTGCATATATAAACTGTAACCCATTCATTAAGTGAATATTAACTAATAAAAATATTTATGAAATATATTGATCTCTGGTAAATAAAACACAATACAGTTGTACCCCGCTTTACGCGGTTTCACTTAACGCGATTTCTCATATACGCGGTGCCTCGCCAGAACCGAACTTTCACTTAACACGGTTCATCTACCCATATGCGCGCAGAGTGTCCGGCTCGAGACGCTATTTTTAGATTCGCCACACCCGCCACCCGCTCCTGCCTGCCTCGCCTCTCCCTCCCCTCCTGCCTCCGCCTGGGCAAGCCGCGCTGTAAGGTTGCGCAGTGTGTCTTCTACTAACGTAAGTGTTACACCTAACTTTAAGTTTTCCTAACCTAACCTTTATTTTTCTGAACTTAACCTTTATTTTTCCTAACCTAACCTCTTCTATATTACTTGTTTGTTCATACCATCATAAAGTTAAGATAAAATTTTTACTACAACATAGTTGTGTGTCGTCAAAAAGTGGAGTTTGGGGGTCGGGCCAGTCTCTATTGGAATTAATCCCATATGTTCTGTTGTTCACTTAACGCGGTACCCTGTGGGTTCAATTGACCGCGTTAAGCGGGGTACAACTGTACAGCACTGCATACAATATTGTTCTCATGCTGTGTGCCTCATGCACTTCCCACTAATATTAAACAAGCTGGATTGGGAGAGGAGTAAAATACACCACTGATGAAACAAAACAAGACTAACTACTGCATCACACTTGTAAAGATGTGGTACATTATCTTTCATCTATACATCTTTAGCAGTATATTCCCATTTCATATACTACAAGTACTGTATATCTTTACAGCTATGCAGTAAACACTATAAATTATCTTAAGACATTATAGTATCCAAATCTTTATTTATCGTCCAAAATAAGATACAGCTCCTCCCCGACTTACGACGGGGTTAGGGACCCAAATCCAGGTCGTAAGTCGAAATGGCCATAAGTCGGAAAACCTTAAATAAATCGAATATGGGTGTCTCTTTTTCTTCTCAGCACCATAAAACACTCACTTTTAAGCTTGCCAGCCATTTTGAAGTGAATTACAAACAAAAATTTTGTCTGTGTACTGACTTTGGGACTCGAAAATACGTAATTTTACAAAATTTTGGTACGACTGAGGCAGGTCGTAAGTGCGGGTGGTCGTAAGTTGAGTAGGTCGTAAGTTGGGGAGGAGCTGTATAGAGTCTTTATAGGTCCTGTGTAGGTAAGCATCAGCTGACTAAGTGAGGCATATTTTACATCAGACATTTCATTCTTGCAGTTGACAGATGGCAGCACTTCCTGGTGTCTTCACGGGCATATTGTGGAACAGTGCAGGCTGTTTAGATATGCATTTTATGCAGACAAGGGAAAAATTATTTTCTGTATGCACGCATGCATTTTCACAGCAAAAGGGTTAATAAAACTTTACCTGACCAAGTTTTCCTGTAAATTTCAATTTGCACATTAATCGAGGATTCATTTAAGCTCATGTTGTCAAACCACATTGGATAATACAAAGCCAAATTATCTGTCACAAATTTCATGAATGAAAAGGCATCCAATAGTTACAAATCAGATTACATTTTCCCACATACAGTACTACTATACTGTACAAAAATTCACACTGTTGGGATTTCAGTGAACTAAATGCATGTAAGAATGAGTAGCCAGAATCTTTAATCCCTAGAACTTTCCATTATTAGGAAAATAAAATTTCATCATTCTAAGAAAATTCTCTCCGTACAGTAGTATTTGCATAAATAAATACCGCTGTGTCTGTCAGACTGCAATTAAGCCTCTGTAGCAATGTTAGCCAGTGCTAGATACATTGCTTAGATGCTGAAACATTCCATGGATGTGCAATTTTTTCTAGGGATAAGAGAACTTTACTCAATACCCGGAATCTCTCAAACGCGGAAACACACTGCACCAATTGTTCCGACTAATGGGGATATTACTGGACTAAAAAAAGGGAAAGTGAGATCATAAAATGTAAAATATTGAATATTTCTTGAAATTGAGGTAGGTTTACGGAGGTTAGAATACAAGCAAACCTAAGTTGACCTGACACCTGACTCAAATCACTAAACCTCAACCAACCTAAACTCGGTGTAAGTAAACCTGCTGTCGACTTACTTTAAAATGTTACCTCTTTAAAGTTATATGCTTTTAAAGGTTTAGCATGAACATTTTATTGCTACTGGACATTCTAGCTTCCTCTGATGGGATAGCTACTGCCAAAAACATGATCAAGATTACATGTGAAATTTGGTTATAAAACTTCCTTACCAGAGTACTGTTATAAACTTTATCCTGACCTCATACATATAATAAACCCCTATTTACCTTAATGGTGTCAGAGGAACATCAGAATCAATCTTACTGTCTAGGAAGGTAATGACTGGTAAAAATGTAATACCTTGTTGAGTAATCACACCAAACAGCTGATCACAAACTGTCTACGTGGACTTTCTCTCTCCTCTTATTACCTCTCTATTTAACACTAAACCCCTGATGGGACTTAATCATACGCTGTAAACTAAATTGAACTTATACCTGTTACTGCTATCTATGGGCCGAAGACATTGTAGAGGGCCAGAAACACTGAATCAAGAGATAATCATTGGAATAAACAGCTGTGGCCTGATACAACCCTTGACGTTAACAGTGAGAGACAACTAACTCCTAAGATGCGCAATGACAAGTAAACAATAGTAATTATATTTAGATATAAAATATATATATGTTAAATTTAACCTTGAAATATTCTCGAAATCTTATTTTTTATTTAATCTTTCTACTAGTTTATGTCTGTTTTGTTCACCTATAAACCTGATCCCATACAGTATTGGTTTAGCCTGGCGACCCACGGCCCTGTTTGGTTGACTCAATTAAGACCATGTGACACTAATTCAATTGATTTAATTGCTCAGGATGAATGTTCCTCTAGATTTTGATAACCGTTTTTATCTTCATGGGTCCAGAGTTAATATAGTACAAGGGCTTCGAAAAGGGGAAGGGGGGTTCACGTGCTTCTCGGATTTCATTCTTGAAGTTAATCACCATCCTACTTTTACTTTTATCCTCTTCACCACTGATCGGCTCATTAGCCGCTTGGGCGATCGGTCACGTCTCTGTTACGCACTGTTGGCAAGTACTGGGCATGCACTTGGTGCCCTCACAACACTTTCCGACAGATTGTTCCAAGAAGAAGGTAAATCCGGCAAAGAATTATTGGGTCTTATAAGAAGGTCGTTCAGATTTCTAGACGGTCCTTCCCTCGTAACGATCTTCAAGAGTGAAGTGCTTCCCCATCTGGAGTACTGTCACCCCGCCTGGTCCCCGAGATATGCTAGGGACTGTCAGTTGGTTGAAAATGTTCAAAGGAGGGCCACCAGACTAGTGCCTGCACTTCGGCACCTCAGCTACCCTGAGAGATTGGAGCGCCTGAACTTGCCTAGCTTATACTACAGAAGGGCAAGGGGCGACCTAGTTGAGGTGTATAAGCATCTCAGGGGGCACTACTCAGTCGAGTGTCCTTACTTGGAGCTGGCGGACGGTCGCCCCACAAGGGGTCACAGCTCAAGATTGAAGAAGCCGCAAGTCCAGAAAACTGTGAGGGCAAACTTTTTCGGAGTGAGAGTTGTAAACTCTTGGAACAATCTACCAGAGAGTGTTGTGACGGCACCGAGTGTGAGCTCTTTCAAGATAAGACTTGACCAACACTGGAGCGGGTTCAGGTACATTCAGGAGCCGGTGCATGCCCAGTATTTGCCAACAGTGCGTGACAGAGACGTGACCGATCGCCCGGGCGGCTAACGAGCCGATCTTTTGGTGAAGAGGATAAATGAAAAGGAAAAAAAGAGTTCACAACTCTCACTCCGAAAAAGTTTGAATGTTAAAATTCATTAAAAATTATGATGAACTTTTGTATTAACCATATATTATCTGCCTACTGCGGACTGCCTAGCCACTCAAAGTCAAGGGCAGTGTAGCCTAAAAGGACATTGAAGTGTTTCGTGTTTGCAATAAGAACTTTGAGTAAAAAGATTTTGGAGAAAAGGAAAACCTTTTCTGAGACATCTTTTGATCTGGAGCCTTAAACAATTATCACAAAATGAACTTTAAGCCCAAATGAAGTGTATAGTTTTCTGACTAAACAACTGAAGTTTTCGTTTTCTTTCTCATTAACTTCAGACACAAATGAGCTAACCCGGAACGTCATAATCACAACAGACACTTCAGCTTCAGTGTGGTGAAGGGAAGTCCACTGAAATTAACCCTAGCTAATGCCTTTCTGTTATCACCAGGCAAAATCGCCGAATGATTTTCCTCCTGAACTTAAAAGTTTATATTTTCTGAATCTGTTGAACATATCCTCCTCGTTTTAGAATACGCGAACTTTAAGAATGGACATACACAAATCACTTTAGAAGTGGCAGATTAATGGTGGGGGGAGGGTGCACAAAAGGGGCCCCCGCAAAGCAGGGTTGTGGGCAATCTAGTTCCAAGGAAAAATGGTGCTGCGAGAAATCATTAGTGTGTGTATGTTGTAGTACCGTACTACACATACACACACTAATGTGTATACATAGTAATATATTCTAAAACCATTTACTAAATAAAGTAAATAAATTATAAATTACTTACGGATTCGTTATAAAAACGCGTTTGAATAATATTAAAAATGTGTGATACTTGAACGCGTACGGGACCTGCCGGTGGTGTAGTCTCAATTGACACAAACTTCACCAGCAGGGTTGCCAGGTCTGTCCTTTCAAGGAAAATCTGTCCTCTTTGAGACCTGCTTGTCCTATGTTTTTGTAATTAAAAAGAACAGCAAAAAATTACCTTTTCTGTCCTTTTTTAGCTTCCTTCTACTTATAAAGCTTAATGAAACATAAAGCATCATATTTTACTAAGTAATATCCTGTTGTCCGTATTAATTTTGTAACGCCTTTTTGTGACGACCAGTACTGAATCCACACGTCCAACACACGTTCAAGCACCCTCTCCTCTCCCTTAAAGATGAGTGCAGTTCAGTACACGCGTCGTATGGGTCAGATTTGCCAGCACCGACCGACTACCCAGTTTCTAACTCAGAAATCCCAACAGACCCTGTTCAGTTCTGGACAGCGTTTTTCAATTACGAAATTGCAGTTGCGGAAAAGTGTTACAAAGAGCTAGCTACCATTGCTCTGAACTCTTATTGTATTCCTTTGAGTACCGCATTTATTGAACGAGTGTTTTCGCATGTAATGAATGTGAAGTTCAAGGCAAGAAACAAGTTAAGCCCAGATTCTTTAGAGGCTATTTTACGAGTGAGAACACACCTGCACAATAAGGACAGCTGTTGCCAGAAATTTGAAGTTACGGAAAAAATGCTAGCACTCTTCACAAGTCAAATGTACAGCAAGGAAAACCAAAAATTCGACAAAGGGGAAAGTAACCAGCAACCTAGTGAGTCCAGTTCAACCTGCTCCATTACCGGAGTTAATGGAGAAAGGGAGGCAACTTCCTTCGATGAAATTTTGTCCATTGAATTTTAAAATTTCCCATTAAATGCCTTTTTTTTACGGTAGAGGTTGTCCTGTGTTGGGGAGGAGCATCTGGCAACCCTGATCACCAGAGACCAGACAATACTTGACCTATCATTCAGTACGGAGCACGCTGGTATGATTGCTTCAGTTGATTTTTATGTGTTTCCATGCACCACATAAGCATCGTTTTGATTTCTGTGACTGAGTTACATTGGGTGCTGCTTTTAGATTAGTCTTACCAAACCGTGCCATCCTATTGACTCCCCGGCACAATATAAACGGCGAGCGGACGTTTGGGCCACGATTATGTTAGGTTAGGTTATGTTAGGTTAGGCCGAAACCAAACGTTCGTAGTCTAAACGTCCCGTTGTCCAAATGTCTTATACATTCAGTGTAAACCAGTGGTGCTCAACCTTTTTCTGCAGGTGGGCAACCCTAGTATAAGGGAGATGGGAAGACCAAGAAGAAGAAGACGGAAGAAAAGAATGAAGGACGTCTGCTTTCTGGTTGCCCTCCGCCGTGGAGGATAGCCAGGTAGCAACAGTGTTTATAAGTGAGTGAAGAACATAAGCGTCGAGTGATATTTGGCGAAAGACGTGCTGCTGATGCGTGATAATGACTTGTGTGAAGTGACAGAGATAAACCAGTTTTGGGGCCTTTTTGTGGGACAAGAAAAGCAGTGCAACACACAGCTTTATTTCCAGTAAAAATAAATAAATGAAAATGTGTGTGCATATGATCTTGATTCCGGCCATCCAGCACAAAGCGGGAAAAGACTTGGCAGACTAACAATTATATTATCCACACTTAACTCTTGATAAGATAAATGAACTGTTAACATTTTGTTTGCTACAGTCAATGCATGTTATTTTTCTTTCAACATTTATTTCATGTTTTCGAGACGAACAACATTCCTTACATTCTCTATATAAGCAAAATATGAAGATGACCCTATAACTAATGAAAGATAAAAATAAATATATGTTAATGTTCAGAGACGCAGGGTTAAAACGGGGCGAGGACGTTAATGGATGCTAATTTATGAGAGAAAAATCAAGTTTTAAACACAGATCACTTTACATAATAGTGGGGTTTTAATGTGTCTTAGACGACGTTGTGGCAACACAGGAGTCATGCGAACTCCTCATCAGCCTGGCTCATCCCGTGGGGGTCCAGGAGGGGCGAGCACCCCTTGCCCCCACACACCAAGTCTCGATTATGGAACCTTCGCGGGAATTTTGTGTATGAGGAGAGGGGAAAGGTGGGAGGGTCTACATCCGCGGAGGGTCATAAGGAGGGGGGGGTGGTCTAGTGCCGCGGAGGGTCATGAGGGGGGTGTGGGGTAAAGTTACAAGGATCTATATTCAGTGAAGGTCAGCTGGTGAGGGTAAGAGGGTAAGAGGGTATATTATTAAACAGCTTTGTTACGTATAGACTACTTACACATCCTAACACAATATATAATATTACAATGTCTTTCCATACATGTAATTTACTTATTTGCAAAGTTCTCTTTTTAATGTCAGTGAGGGCTGGTCTGTAATTTTTCAAGAGCCTTATATAGCTTCACGAGGAGTATCTATAATACATTGCTGTTTCACGCAAGTTTATATATATATATATATATATATATATATATATATATATATATATATATATATATATATATATATAACACTAGAAAGAAAAACACTTCGTGTTTTCTTTCATATATATATATATATATATATATATATATATATATATATATATATATATATATATATATATATATATATATATATATATATATATATATATATATATATATATATATATATATATTGTTGATAAATTTTACTTATAGAAAGAAATCGTGTTGATGTTGTACTGGAATGGGTGCACAGAGAACAGATGTAGAGATGTATTATTTAATAAGACTAATCATATGAGCTAATGTGTGCCCTCACAGCTAGCCAAACAAGTGATACCCTTCGGAGTTCCTACATAAATCTGACTGTACTTAGCATAGGGCAGAACACAGGATATGTCACAGTAGTTAAGGCAATAATGATCTTGAGCATAAGTTACTAACGGGTCAGAGCAATACTTCATGTTAAACCAGTTAAGTAGTGTACGCACCTCCCTACCTGTACTGTACCTCCCTACCT